TTGCTATTTAGGCTATGCTCGTCTTGCAATCACAGTTTGCCAGTATTGCGTATCAAACAACGTCATTAGAAGCTACTTTACCTTTGGATTAATCTCCATGGTCATGAACAGCCTAAAGCTGGCGTGTGGGTTCAAGGAGTGCAGTTTTTTCTCCAGAGTTACCAACCATTGAGGAGCCAGATGAACGTTCTTTAGCAGAACCCACCTGAAGTGAAGACGGAAAAGAAAAAGCAAAGGCGTTAGGTTGGATGTCTGGTCATTTGGCGAGTATTGCTCAAGTTTCTTAGACTAAAATTGCTTGGGCGGTTTTCATATTCATGCTTAAAACAGACGGCAGAAGTACTTTGAAATACTAAAGAACAGTAAACGAACACCAACCTTCCAGACTTGGTAGCAGAGTTGATAGCTTTGTCAGCAAGACTGAAACCCTCAGCAGACCCTGAACAATCGGACAACGAATAATAAACACCAAGATCAATTTAAAACGCGGCACAAACTCTCTGTTAATTAAGGAATCAAGGACAAACGTCTATGGGGTACCCTTGTGCTACAGGTTTTCTTTCTTCTTTAGAAAAGAGAAAACCTCTAAAAACAAGGGTATTTATGGGATGATAGACTACGAGTAGTCCCTCTTTCGCTTAGTCCGTCGAGCGTGACCATAAATAAACCTCTCCGAAACCTCCTCGAAACCACGAAATCCTGGGGTTGCTTATCGCCCTCGTGCGGGTTTGTTTACGGTCTCGCTCGACGTATTAAGCGAAAGGGGCACTTTTCGCAGTCTAATGGGATGGTAACTTACCGATGGCAATGGAAGTGCACTGTTTGTTCTGTTCTGCAGCAAGATCATCCACCCATCCGCTTGCATCATAGCCTGTCACGGAACACAGCAACAGTGGCGTAGAGGCCTTGACCTGTTGAAGTCAAGAACAATACTGTTAACACCGCATCTTCCCTAACAAACAACCAGCCAAAGTATACGAATTCTTAAGCAACACTGCAAGACTTTCAAAACCTAGTTAACTCTGGAGTCGCCGAAGCNAGGAATCAAGGACAAACGTCTATGGGGTACCCTTGTGCTACAGGTTTTCTTTCTTCTTTAGAAAAGAGAATCCTCTAAAAACAAGGGTATCTATGGGATGATAGACTACGAGTAGTCCCTCTTTCGCTTATAGTCCGTCAAACGTGACCGTAAATAAACCTCGAAACCTCGAAATCCTGGGGGTGCTTCTCGCTCTCGAGCGGGTTTGTTTACGGTCTCGCTCGATGTATTAAACGAAAGGGGCACTTCGCAGTCTAATGGGATGGTAACTTACCGATGGCAATGGAAGTGCACTGTTTGTTCTGTTCTGCGGCAAGATCGTCCACCCATCCGCTTGCATCATAGCCTGTCACGGAACACAGCAACAGTGGTGTAGACGCCTTGACCTGTTGAAGTCAACAACAATACTGTTAACACCGCATCTTCCCTAACAAACAACCAGCCAAAGTATACGAATTCTTAAACAACACTGCAAGACTTTCAGTTAACTCTTGAGTTGCCCAAGCGAGGACCGTTAAAACAATTTTGCCTCTTTCCTTAAGCTGTAAACTCAACGCGAGTCCAACTTTTAAGTTTGTGAACAAAACTATCTTGAGTGACCATTTAAATGAAAGCCATTGAGCAGTACTTTCATGTGGATAAAACACGGATGTATGACCATTCAAATGAATGCTTTTAAGCAGCATTTTCGCGTGCGACAAACCTCATTTTCAACAACAGATGCTAGGTCCAGTCCTTGCTCTGCATCGTGCATGAAGTTCTCGCCGAGGATTGTTTGCACAACTTTGTGACTCATGGCCAACATTCGGTCAGGACGTAACGCTTGGATCACTAACAACTGATGAACGGCTTGGCCATGGTTTGCTACAAAGGAAAGGGAAAATAACAATTTTTTATCCTTGCACAGGATGCAGGTGATAGTTCACGCATTTTCTCTTAAACGTTTAGCGGTTTAGTATGGGTATCTTATCAGAGCGGTTTTCACTTGTTTCGAAAAGTAATCGGCTTGCATTCCTTCACTACACGATTGGCTTAAAAAACCGCCTCGAGCCACTTTTTCATCTAATCAGAAGTAAAACCAAAACCAATCGTGACTCGCTCGCAAACGTTTTCCCGCGCTTTACATCAGCTTTGATTGGTTTACTGTCTTTTCTGTGTCCTTTGTGATTGGCTAGAGTGATAACTGTGGTTTTGGTTTTAGGATAATCAATTCAAAACTGCACAAATAAGGCCACTGCGGCGTCAGTACTACGTAACATTTCCTAATAATTTAAGCAGAAAATAGATATTTGTGTGTGTGTCTCTTTTAAGAAAAGGTTTTAAGGTAGCACCGAGTTCGGCTCAAAATAAAGTCAGTTTGGTAAAAGAGTTCCTTACACAGAGAAAGTTCAGAGTCCCAGCAAGCCGGCACATTGCGTTCAGGTTTACCCGACTCCAGCCACTCAAAGAAATCCTGAAAAAAAATGTTACAGAAATATATCACTGAGTAATAATGAAGGTAATGATTTACTGCAGTTAACAAGATACTAGCGGACTTTCATCCGAACCCTTGTCGATTAACTAAAGAGCTATTCTTCTTACCTTACGGTTGAACTTCATGTATGCTTGGAGCTCCTTAAAAGCAGGCAGCTTGGACAAACGAACCACGGCTGCGGCCTGTGAAAACAGCAAAAGACAGCTCTCACTACTTGAACGAACTTGTTTCATACAGGTTCATCTCAATGCGAGGCTTAGTTCAAATGCTTTGTGATTGGTTCAACTAACTTGCGCGACGTTCTCTGACCAATCACCTTGAACATGCTGTTTCTTTCAACCAATCAGAAAACCAAAACCAACCGCAACTAGGCTTTCCAGTGTTTTCCAGCTCTAGTTCGCGCAATCATGATAACGGCTACAAGAGAGCATTTTTCAGAGCAATTTCGACAGAAATTGTAAATTTTCTTTACCAGCGCGCTTTTTTAGTCATTTTATTAGTTCAAAACGTTCCTACGCCGAGAATATTCCACGTCTTTTCGGTACCTGTTCAGGTGCAAGTCCGTCAATTTTCGGTGGCTTTCCTGACAGCACAGTTTCTCCTCCACGCAAAAACATCTCAAACTCATCCTCATATTCAGTCTCTCTGTAAAAACAAATTGTCACTTAACATGTTTATACCTTTCCGTCCTAAAATTGAAATGTAAATACTCCTTACTGGTTTTCTTATATTTCTTTATATTTTAGTGCGGAGAATTTTGTAGTACATTAAGACATTATAACGTAAAATATTCAACTACACACCCAGGCAGTCCACGTAGATAAATACGGCATAGTAACATGGCAAACGTGATTCTGTCATCGTGCATCATGCCACGGGCGACTCTGTTGTAAACGACCTGAGGAAAAGAAGGTTACCAAATCCAATCAATGGTGCTGTGAGCTCTGTAGAAATTGCGTTACGCGTCACAGTGACACGTAACACAATCTCTATAGAGAAGCCGTGACAAAATGTAACAAACCATAGAGTTGTTGTGTGACAATGTCGAAGAGAGGAAAGATTTAGACCGTAAATATGTATTGCAATATACGACATGCAACAAAACAGTTAGTGATATCACTTATTTACCTGGAACAAGTCGCTTGACAAAACTTTCAACCTCTGCTGTGGATCTTTCATGTTTTTCAGTTTGGGATTCTCGTACAACACGCACTGAAATATATCCAGGAAAAACTGCAGAGAGAACTGGTACAGGAAGTGAACCTGAAGGGACGGAAAAATAACAGTTTTCCGTTAGAGTGAAGGATAAAACAGTTAACTAACGGTTATTTCATGCCTCATATTTACTATAGCGCCAATAGAACATCATAATTTGAAGATCTTGTATGTAAACGTAAATCAAGCCGATCACTCCAGACTTACAACACCTGTTTTATCGCTGGTTTGCTGTCTGACTCACCAAGTTCAGTCCTTCCATAGTGAAGTAGATACTGCTACAGTAGTGTGACAGAGCTCCGTACTGATCTGATACAGCTTCAACCTCCGCCATCACCACATCCGTCTCTTCTACTTTACGAGTGATCTCAGCCGCTTCTTCCTTGAGCTTTTCCAGAGTTGCAATGATTCTAAGGCGGAAAAAGTTCACACGTTAAAAATGTTCAAATGTTGTTGTTTATAGTGGTCAATGCGCTTAGCAACACCGATAAACAACTACAGCCATAAAGTGTTCAGCGCGGACTTAACCCGCGACCTCCGATTTCAAGTCCGGCGCCCTAACCACTCCACCGCGCTGCCCCCTCAAAGTAACCGTTACAATGTAAGACGAAACAACATATCAAACTTTTGACATAACCTTGAGCTTTGATATGCTCAAAAGAATTTTTGACAGGGACCTGCCAAGACAACACTTGTAAAGCCCAGGAAAAACGTTGGTTAAGAATTTTAAAAATTCCAAACTGACCTATCGTCATCAAGGATTCTTCCTTTGGCATCATTCAAGGCTTGCAGCAAAGACTTCTCAAGATGGCGAAGGCGAAGATGAAATTCGCCTAGAAAAAGAAAAGAGTACTACAATTAACTTTCTTTAACTCCAAAAGAAAATATGAGACAAAGAGGTTTTTAATTCATACAAAATCTCAATTACCGTCACATTCTTAAATGACAAAAAAGTAATTTCTAGTTTGAAAATCACACACTTAGGGAATCATCTGTTTTTTTATTATTGTTATCATTTAACGGAAAAAGCATTCCCTACTCGATTTACATATATGTTTAATTTTACGATATTTGCAGTTTCTCTTCAACAGAACTTTTTCAGACTTAAGCTGATATCTCGTAGGCTAAGCTCAATCTCTTTAGCTAGAGATGAATAGCCCTTGCTACGGTTAGTTTGTTCTCATTTGCATTACAATGTAATCCAAAGTGGATGCGAGGTAAATTTCGGGCAGAAATATTTAAATGCGAGTAAGAGGAATTAGCCATAAATGGCCTATTGTAACGATTGGACGAAAGTGTCATGGATAAAAGCGAGAACAAATGTGGGGATACCTTGAAGCTTAAGAAGGTCAGATCTCTTTTTATCCACATCAGGTCTCTCAGCTTTCAGCACTTGATTCAAACACTGACTCTGTAGACTGCTGCGAGTCACTGTGAAGTTTACAAACGTCACTCGACTGCACAGGTCTGGAGCAAACTCCACCTGAGTTGAACAAAAAGATAATTATGAGCTCAAAACAACAAAATAAAGATTAAAGATAGTATTTAATTAAAAATCCGAGGAGAAAAACAAGGGCTCTCTATGGCAGCGTTTTGTCAAAAGCTTAAAACAGTTCAGTTGTAATTCGGTCAAGAAATGGTAAGAGTCCTTTTGAAGTCAGAACCACACGTCACGTTACTTAGCAAGGCCGCAGCTAAAACTGCGGGCTCGTTTAATTCTGCAGGTGACAGACAAGAAGCATCTGCTACTTTCACATGGAATATTTTGCTTCCAGTTATGCGGTCATGTGGTACATGTAACCCAATGTTTAAGCAAGGGGATGTTTTGTGTCTTACCGTAGGGTCCCTTGTGGAGAGGAAGATGGTAAATGACGGTGACAAATCAATATCCTGGTCTCCTATAGTAATAAGAACTCGACCGCCAGTGCGACGTAACTCACGGTTTAACACAGGGTTGAGGATTGGATCGTAACTTTCAACATCCTGTTCACAAATAATCACGAAATAATAAATAAAATAAGTCAATGAGTTACAAGAGAAACACCAGATCAAATTCATTTGGCTTACAGCACAAGCAAGATTCTCCACTTGGAACAAAAGCAAATTGACCAAAAACGACCACTCGGTTATTCGGAAAGACTTGACTTTTCAATGTTTCCGGGCCTGTTTGTTTTTTGTTTGCCTTTAATTGAAAGGGATGTTTGGCAGGATTGACATCAAAGCTAACAGAACCAAAATCATCTGCCCTCTATCAGTGTGACACAAGTGGCCATATTGGTCTTGTGCACTGTTGACATTTTACTTGGTGTGTTCAGAAACTGTCTCAAAGTAAAATAAAGGCCTCATTTCAGTTAAATAACAGTGTGCCTGTATACCAGTAGGATTTTTTTTAAAAGCCTTCTATTCCATTTACCTGAACAAGAAGAGGGTTGCCAAACCTCAGAGCACTCTCTAGATTCTTACGGAAGGCATCATCAAGGAAACTATAAAAGAAAAAATTCCGCAATTAGTAAAACGAACAATTAGTAAAACCTCAAAGATGAACCGAACGGAAAAGACTTCCACCAACTGGTGCAGTAGTTTATCAACTTAGCAAAGAAGCAGCTTCATAGTGAGTTCTCTTTGTACCTTGTTTTGTTGATCTTTCTTCCCTTGTACTCGTTCAGCAAGAACTCAGTGGCTTGTCCTGACGGGTCAATGATCAGAGGGTAGCGGTTGAACCTCTTCAACATAATGGCATTCTCTGTGCACAGATCATCTGCTGGTAAGCAGTTGGCTTGCCATTGGAGTCGCTCATCAGCAGTGGACAAATACTGTGTACAAGACAAGGCAGGAAACATTGAACAACTGCTAAGATTCAAGATAGTGACCTTCTTACGATGAGTGCCCTCGATCGTCATATAAGAGCCCCGGTCAAAGAAGCACCCCTGTCTACTAAGAGCCCTCATAAGGGACATTTTCACAACTCTAATGTAAGCCTTCAAAGTACAGCTGAGTTAGTTTTTAGTTGACATCGATTGTTTTCAAGAGTGTTGCCACGCGTAGATATGTTAAGATAATATGAGAGAAGAATATGGAGAAACACATATAATTAAAATAAAATAAACCGCCTTCCCTGAAGTTCCTGATAATCACTTTCTTGTGCATGGAAAAATTAACAATTAAGGATGAACTTATAAGTACAACATGTAACTGAGTGTCACCTCACCTCTACTCGTGCAATATCAGGTCTAAACTGAATGTTTGCTTGTTGTAAATGAGCTGCCCAGGAGGTGAAGAGATTCTGACGAAGCTGTTGATCGAAGTACCCTGAAAAGAAACAAATCAACTCATACAATCACTCGTGTGTACCACTACAATTTTCGTAGTAACAAACAGCCGATCATCTTTAATGTCTCGTAAAATCTGCAAGATCAGTCAATTTTGGAAGACTGGATTCTGACAAGGCACTTGTTTGCCGTAGTGCTTAATTACCTCGATAATAGCTCTACAAGTATTCGCTTGGTTTGTGACGCAATCCTAACAAAATATTTCGTGACGAGGTAAAGAACGCTTGCTAAATTCTACTTAAGTTTTCTTACCTGCATAAGCCAGGAAGGCTGATGACAGAAGCACATCTCCCACAATAGTACCCATCTGTGTTTGGAAGGCGTTACTGCCTGTCTCCCATCTCTGCCTCTCTACTGACAGACTTCGCAACAGAGCAGTGCTGCGACTCACCTATGATTTGCAACAGAACCTAGTCAATGTTGCAACTGATTTCCAAGGTCAGTAAGACACCAGTTGTCTGCCCCACATCAGAAACTATTTTTTATTTCCTCATGTTAATCCGTGCACCTCACTGGATTATCGAGACTTCATTTATAGCTTCGTTGGGAGGACAAAGCACTTGTTAACCTAAATTTCTTTTATCAAGTTATTACGCTGAGAAAATCATGTTATTCGCTTCACGTCCTGAAGAACGTTACAAATTTCGCAGATTATTAAAGCATTAGAGATTCACTCCTAACAATCCTTGAAAATGCTTGATTCAAGTCAAAAGGTTTTTTCTTTCTGGGGTTTCCAGGTTCTGCTTCATCCACTTGCCTGCCTGCACTTTTCTGGAATAACAAAGTTTAACTCAGTGAGTAAAGAACTTAAAAGATGATCAGTCTCACCTTAGCTTCAACTGCGGCAAGGTCGGCCTTGATAGCCTGGGCCTGACTGATCAGCCCGGCATATTCCTCTTTGTAGCGTGCAATACTCTTCTCAAGTTCAGCGATAACATGGCTAATTTCGTCCGCCTGAAACGGAAAACAAACCACAGAGTCATTAGGCATGCCATGAATCACACTGTGTACAACTTCTTATATCGGGTAGCAAGTGATTTTAGATATTGTAATCTCAAAAGGTTCAATTCGCTACAGACAACGACAATTACAGAACTACAAGACACTGAACAACCCCACCCTCTCTTTGACAGTTGGATAGCATAAAACTGAGACTGACTTTGCATAAGAATGACATGGGAAACAGGGGCCTTCTAACAAGACGGAGCTAAAATCTCCAGATCTAAAATGTTCGCTCGTTGTGCTGTAAAACATCCATTTCTCACCTTGATTCTGCTGGCCTGTGCTTCGATCTCCAAGCTCTTTAGTTCATTCCTCAATGGGTCTACCTTTGTAAGCATGTCTGCATAACTGATCTGTAACATTAGCAATAAAATCGATTAGTATTCCTATGTTGGCACCCATACCTATGTGTAGGCAACGTGTGGGAAAATTCCCAGCTCCAAGGCACCGTCCACACTACGCCGAAGAAATTTAGAAATGGACGTCTCTATCAAGAAACGCATCAAATGTTTCCTGTCCACACTGCGTCGGAGAAATTTAGAAATGGAGGTTTCAATCAAAAAACGCATGAAATGTTTTCTGTCCACACTACGCCGGAGAAATTTGAAAACGCAACAATCACCGGTCATTTTGGATTTGAGGAAAACTCGGTCAGGGATATCACATGATCATCGTGACTTCATCGTTTTCGAAAAGTTCCGTTTTCAAAACGTTTGCCGTCCACACAAACGCAGTCAGCGTTTTCAATTTCCTCCGGTTTGAAGAGCGTTTACGAAAAGCTCCGTTTTTGTGACGGATTAGTGTGGACGGTAGGCCTAACCATAGAAATAAAGCTGCGTTTCCAAATTTCTCCGCCGCATTGTGGACGGGCCTAAGCTTTTGACATGTTGTTCAGTTAATGTGCGCCTTCCGCACAATTTACTTTTGAACTACTTTACTTCTTTGAGTTTGGATCAAGTATATCTCCAATTGCCACCAATTTGGTGTCTTTCTATGAAACATAGAAGCTAAACTAAAAGTTCTATTGCCGCTTTTGGGGGTTAAATAATAATAAAGAGTTTTTTTAGAGTTAAAAGCTCCGTCATTTTAAAATGTACCTGTGCAATGGACCATTTCACAAGAGGACCACAAGCCAAACTGGCTCGGTTCACTTTCTCAAAGTTGTAGTCAGGGTTGCTGAGGTACTTGCTGACCATTATTTTCCGGATGTCATCTCTAAAATGGAGAGAAAAGGTCTTATAATTGTCTCACATTTGGTGGGCTTTGTTATTCACTGTCTTATTTTCAGGGGAGGTTACTACCGGAATGTTAAGTTACCCTGTTTTAGGGACGATCTCGCTACTTACGAAATGTCCTCTGTCGAGAAGTTCACAATGGTGGAAATGAAGTTGTCCTTGATGATGACACCTCGAATGGTCCTCCAGTCTGTAGCCTGCTCTCCGAGCAACAAACAGATGGATTCCAAGGCAAGCTTGACTGCAGGGGGAGGGTTACCCATGGAACGAACCTCCACAAGATGCTGCTTCTTGATCGACTTAACAGCTGTGAAAGGAAACAATCATTTACCCATTTCAGTCCCAAACTTACAATATAAATTCTCCTTACTGTCTTCAACACAATTCGTTTATGTTGGATTTGAGAATTTGGTGGTACATCATTTCGACTTCCCCTGGTTCAAGATTCTGTTTAATGCTGTGATCTCGACGTTGTATCGATGCTGATATTTGACTTTGATTTATTACGTTGTAGATCTTACTCTCAAGTCAGTTAATAAAATCCTCATGTATAACCATCCAAATGAACGCTATTAAGCGGTATATTCATTTGGTACCGTCCACTTCCGGCTCGCAATGTCTCTAAGATCAGTGTCAGCGGAATATTTGTCACAACTGTGCTTTGGTAGTTTTGTACGGGTACAGTGCTATGCTCTGGAAAACTTACCCATCTTTGCATCCTGCACGGCTGGTTCTACTTTGGCAAGTTCTGCCATCACACTGGTTTGCTTCTCTTTTATCTCCTTAGTTTGTTTCTGAAAAAGCACAAACAAATACCAATCAAGGCCAGAGACAATTGCCACAATAGGCACATATACCCATTGCAAACCTATTTTTCAACACCACATGCCGTGAAAAGCTTGCAATTTCGGTAACAGCTCTCTTTGCTTAGCTCTCTTTGTTAAAAGCCCGGCGATTTAACTGCCCCAACGTCCTAACCTCGATCGTAGCTTGAATTTCCATGGATGCAACTTTCTTCTTCTCTGCTTCTTGCTGGTCTTTAACCTGGAAGATAATTTGCAAGTTGTATCAGACCAACAAACATTATTTTAGACTCGGAAGACCTGTACAGCACAGTCATTAGCTCCATATATATTTCTTTTGGGACTGGTTGAGAGAATTTCCTTTCATATCAAGCTATCAGTACGATGATCAAAATATCAGATACCAGATGCTGTATGTTTGCTGGTAACTTTACAGAGAGAAGTAACTTTTACAGCTACATCACGTTAAAAGAGCAACCAAGAAATGGGTGCACTTCTATTCTGTCTCTAGAAACGTTCATATTGACCTACTGCCTTTTAAGAAAACGTGCTCCAGTTTTAACTCACCATCTGTTTGAGTTTCTGATTGGCAAGGGCATTCTTTGCCTCCAGTTCCTGACTCTTGAGTGACAGACTCTTTTGAAGCTCTTCAACCTAAAACAGAGGTAAATATAATGTAAAGCCACTAAATGTAACGCGATGTAATTAAATATATCAAAGAGTAACGCAATGCGAAAGAACGTAATATCTCTGTTACAAACGTAAGAGAGATTGACGCTATTGTAAGAAGTGTCCTTCAGTTATGTTTCAAACCTGTTTGGTCTTATGACTTAACAATATAACAGAAGTAGTCCTTTGAAGTCTGGTTGATAATTTTCTTTATTCTCATCACCATTCTGCTTGACTACGTTAGTATGTATCAATTCTGTATGGGGAAATTGGATTTTGATCACTTCCGCAATAAATAAGAAGTTCTTACCTGGTCTACAGTCTCACGGATCTTCTGCAAACCAACATTCAAGTGAAGCTGTTGCTCTTCAAGGTCAGATCTCTTCTCGTTAAACAATTTCACCTAAACATAACACAGATATCAGTCACACAGTAACACTTCTTTCATAAGTGAACTAGGGCCAGGAAAAAAAAGTATAACCCCCACTACAGAAAAGGGAGTCGCGGTAGCATAATGGTTAGTGCGCTCGACTACGAATTGAGCAGTCTGGATTCGAGCCCTGGCCGGGGACATTGTGTTATGTTCTTGGGCAAGACACTTTACTCTCACAATGCCTGTCTCCACCCAGGTGTATAAATGGGTACCACCGAATTTAGTGCTGGGGGGTAACCACGCAATGGACTAGCATCCCATCCAGGGGAGAGTAGAAATCTTCCTAGTCGCTTTAGGCTGCAAAGAAACCCGAGACGTGATGGGTCATTTGGTTCGTAAAAACACTTTACCCTTGACCTCTCACTACACAAAAGGTTGACACCGGATTATTGAAGGTAACCTGAACTCTCACTCAACAATTAGACAGATAGATGGATTGCACTATCACTTACGTAGTGGTTAATGAAATCCAGATAGTGACGAGGCGTGATGGCCATCACGCGACCTCCTCTCTTAGCTAACCTCGAGTTGGCCTGGTGCAGGGTTTGGTGAACATACACAAATGCGTTGATGACTGCTTCTCTGTGGCTGGGATGCATGGGCAGGTCTTCATAGACTTTGGGAAGGTAGTCTGGTGGAGTGTACTGTAGACGCAACAGGAAACAGGTCATGATAACGATAATGATTCTTTAAAACTTTCCAATAAATGAAGAGGGAAAAACGTGATCTTGAGTGTCTGGGTATTTAATCCACAGTGAAGGCACAAACAGCTAGGTCCCATCCACACTACGCCGGGGGAATTTGAAAACGCAGCTTTATTTCTACCGTCAGGCCTACCGTCCACACTAATCCGTCACGAAAACGGAGTTTTTCAAAAACGCTTTCCAAACCAGAGGAAATTGAAAACGCCATCTTTTTGTTTTGAAAACATTTTGAAAACAGACCTTTTCAAAAACGATAGCGTCACAACAATCATGTGATTTCCCTGCCCGAGTTTTCCTCAAACATAAATCTATTTATTGCTACTTTTTTAAATTCCTCCGACTTAGTGTGGACAGAAAACATTTAACGCATTTTCAGAGTGTACCCTTTACTTTCAAATTCTCCCAGTGTAATGTGGACGGGGCCTTATAAACGTTAACCTGATATGGATTTTGTCCACCTTGTGGACCAAGCGGGCTTGTGAAAGAATGAGACATATAGTAAGTAACATCTTGTAGTTATTCTTACATTTGATTTCTCCAAGTCAATCTTGCTGGTGAACTCTTTGCCAACTTGATACAGCGCACCAGTGGACCAATCTCCAAACCAGTTGAGAACACATCTACAAACACATCAGAAAACGTTAGAACAGATCCAGGGTAATTTTCTGATTAGAGATCGACACTTCAGACTTCGGAAAAGACAAAATTAACTCGGAAGTATTTTTCAGTGCAGGAAAATAACCCAGTAATTTCCCTTTACGCGTTGGCCCTAGAAATGAAATAGGAACCACACGCGATAAATAAAAAATCTTTGACCTTGGCAGCAAAACAATCCATGACCTCCACACTGAATTAAGCAGCTTGTGGTGGTCTTTCGTGGCAAAGTAGATTATCCAGACTTATCTCTCTGCTTTCCATCTTCTATTCCTTTGCTGCGTCGCGTAGCTTTGCGTTAATAGTGAACTATTACACTCACACTTTTTTAAGACCTACTGTAATTTCATAAAGGGTCTATAAAACATTGCACTACTTTGTAACCCTGTAAGGACGTTTCAAGTTTGGAAAGTCTACCTGTTGAACAAGGCTGGAGAAGTAGCAGCTCGGCTCTTCAAACCTTCTGATGACGGATTCATAGTGAAAACAACGTGCAAGTTGTTCATGACCTATGGGAAGAGAAAGTAAAGGTGATACAAAATGTTGACCCACTGGAGACGATTTTGGGGCAACACAAAACAGCTTTCAAAAAGAATTTCAGTACCTCTATAATTGACAATTCGAGAGAGAAACGGAAAGAAACGACAAGTTCTCACACCAACCTGCTGTGTGAACCATTTGTACAGCTCCTCGCTGCTGTCGAGCATAAGTCCTTCTCTTTGTGAACCTTCCTTACACTGAGTCATCAGAGTGGTGTACTCATCGCCTTCAAACAATCCTGGAACCTGAAAACCACAAAACATGCGATCAGCTACTTTAGTTGTAGAAGACACATTTAAGAGGCTACGTCATGGTTTGTGCATCTTAAAAAGTTTAGCCTAAATTTTTCAAGTTCGTCGTTTGTAATCTGTGTTAATCTTTTCCATCCTAAACCATCTGTGTTCCTTCATGGTTTATTATTATCTCTTAAGTGCTTTTCTATCTTAATAAACTATTATTATCAGGTTTCCGTCAATTTAAAGGTAATTTTGCATGTGGCCAAAATCACTCAAAACAGGACGTGACTGAACTTCTTTAATTAATGCACCTAAAATGAGCAACTATTTTAGAAATAGAAACAAGAAAAATCAANTCGCCTTCAAACAATCCTGGAACCTGAAAACCACAAACATGCGATTAGCTACTTTAGTTGTAGAAGACACATTTAAGAGACTACGTCATGGTTTGCGCATCTTAAAAAGTTTAACCTAAATTTTTCAAGTTCGTCGTTTGTAATCCGTGTTAATCTTTTCCATCCTAAACCATCTGTGTTCCTTCATGGTTTATTATTATCTCTTAAGCGCTTTTCTATCTTAATAAACTATTATTTTCAGGTTTCCTTCAATTTAAAGGTAATTTTGCATGTGGCCAAAATCACTCAAAACAGGACGTGACTGAACTTCTTTAATTAATGCACCTAAAATGAGCAAATATTTTAGAAATAGAAACAAGAAAAATCAAGTCAGAACAATCCAAAGAGCCAGAATACGGAAAAAAAATAGTTAGAATACCTCTCCATTTGCCAGCAGTGTGTTCATTCTTTCCAAGAAGCTTGACTCCAAAATGTTGGATTCATCCAAAATGAAGACAATCTTTTCATTCTTACAGCCTGCACGTCTAAGGACTGCTCGTAAGTCCTCATCAAAGTCTGCAGCCAAATACTTGCGATGGATCTAGTAATTGGAATATTAATCACAAGATTCAATGCTTCCAGTATCCCCACAATATGGAAAAAGGCTTGCAACACAGTGCTAACTAAATATTTGTTTTGAGCAACAGTAAAAAACGTAAAACCTATGTTAAAAAAAAGTTAATCAAACAGGGAGGAGTTTCATAAGACGCCAGATATTTGCAAACAGTCAAAATTATGTGTAAACGCAACATACCTTCACTTGGAAAACACTTAGACCATTCATCCACGCCACAAATCTTGACAATGTGGTCTTACCAGCTCCACTCACACCAATTAACAACAAGTGACCCTAGAACAAAGAAATTTGCCCGTGCCATCACATAATGTTACTACAACTAGATTAAGATCTATTCTACAATCCCAAGTTCAGAACACGTTGTTACTAATTCTATGCAAACTGCATAGTGGGGCCTAGCAAACAACTAAAACAAATAATTCAAATTGAAGATAACATTGTTAAATATCCCAACTAGCCGGAGACAAACTAGTTGGTTAGTTACATGCGTGGCCTAGGATTTGAACTCGGGGCTACCGTGAAGTAAATCCAGTAGTGGTCAGATCGAAACTCGAACCTTGGACCGATGGATTGAGAGTCCGACGCATTGACCACTCGGCCATGCTGCCTCCAACTTTTCCTCTGTATCTTGACCTTGAAAAAGCCCTTAGTATTTGTACAAGAATAGCGGAAAAAGAAAAAAAGGTAACTGCTCACTCACCTGTGGCTGCCTAAAGATTCTGTCAATTCTCAGAACATGGTCGAGCACTTCATTGAACAACACCAATGGCACATCTAACTCTTCCTCATAAAACACCTGTCAAAACGGCGAATTGGAACGTTAGAACAGGTTACAGAACAGCAGCATTGAGAGCAACGTGTTATATGTTGTGTCGTCCTTAAGGAAACAACGACAAAATGTTATTAAATCTTGCAAGGTTTAGTAAGTTATGAAAACAATCTTACGTTACTCTGATTTGTGATCAGTGTACGCTACCCCGTTATTGCATCATCAAAACATCTAAACCTCATTTACCCTTCCATCGTCATGGATGGGCGTCCTGGATTCTCAATCATCAGTTACATTTTCGGTGATTTCACAACTACTAGTTTACTCAGTTAAAATTTCAGCCCATATCTCAGCTAGCTTAACAACGCAACATTTGTGAGCTGGAAGTTACAATTTTGACCAATTCTCAGATATGACTTAAACCCCAGTAACACCCTCTTACAGCAGTTTTCAATTAAGTGTCGTAAAACCAAAACAAACCAGTTACTTACCAATTAGACTACTCAGTCAATCTCAAACTGTAGTAAAACCAAATCCAAAGTAATTACCTGATTACTTTCGACACTCAGTTGAATACCGTTCTATTACATGGGAAACTGAGATACCAGTAATCTTTTTTCCAAATATTGACAGAGCTTACCAAGTCTCAATTTGCCACAAAATAACTTTCCCAGTTGGTTCATTCATACCTTAAGTCTGGCTTTCACAAAGTCTCTGAGCTCCTCCTGTTCCACAGGCATGTAATCCTTAGACAGCCAGTTACTGAAGAGGATTGGTCGCACCAGAGCAGCATTACGATCTATGTTGGGAAAATGTTTCAAAGCAACATTGTTTACGTTCTCATCTGTCCACTTACGCTCATCATCTTCGACCAGCCTGGAAAAACAAAAACAAGAAATGAAAGCTGTCAGAGTCAAGCTACAACTTTCAAGACAAAGCTCCAATGCATNAGACCGGCTGCCAGCAGTCTAGGATAGAGGTCCTGGATGCTCATTTATCAGGTACATTTTCGGCACCTTTTCGAGTAGTAGTTAATTTTTTTAGCCCATTTCTCAGCAAGCTATCAGTTAAAAACGCAACACTTGTCGGCTGGAAGTTAAAATTTTCACCAATTCTCAGGTATGTGTTAAACCCCAATTACACCCTCTTATTTCATAGGATTCCGAGATTATCTATTTTCCAAATAATGACAGAACTTACCAGCTGTCAGTTTGTCACAAAATAACTTTCCCAGTTGGTTCATTCATACCTTAAGTCTGGCTTTCACAAAGTCTCTGAGCTCTTCCTGTTCCACAGGCATGTAATCCTTGGACAGCCAGTTACTGAAGAGGATTGGTCGCACCAGAGCAGCATTACGATCTATGTTNAATATCCCAACTAGCCGGAGACAAACTAGTTGGTTAGTTACATGCGTGGCCTAGGATTTGAACTCGGGGCTACCGTGAAGTAAATCCAGTAGTGGTCAGATCGAAACTCGAACCTTGGACCGATGGATTGAGAGTCCGACGCATTGACCACTCGGCCATGCTGCCTCCAACTTTTCCTCTGTATCTTGACCTTGAAAAAGCCCTTAGTATTTGTACAAGAATAGCGGAAAAAGAAAAAAAGGTAACTGCTCACTCACCTGTGGCTGCCTAAAGATTCTGTCAATTCTCAGAACATGGTCGAGCACTTCATTGAACAACACCAATGGCACATCTAACTCTTCCTCATAAAACACCTGTCAAAACGGCGAATTGGAACGTTAGAACAGGTTACAGAACAGCAGCATTGAGAGCAACGTGTTATATGTTGTGTCGTCCTTAAGGAAACAACGACAAAATGTTATTAAATCTTGCAAGGTTTAGTAAGTTATGAAAACAATCTTACGTTACTCTGATTTGTGATCAGTGTACGCTACCCCGTTATTGCATCATCAAAACATCTAAACCTCATTTACCCTTCCATCGTCATGGATGGGCGTCCTGGATTCTCAATCATCAGTTACATTTTCGGTGATTTCACAACTACTAGTTTACTCAGTTAAAATTTCAGCCCATATCTCAGCTAGCTTAACAACGCAACATTTGTGAGCTGGAAGTTACAATTTTGACCAATTCTCAGATATGACTTAAACCCCAGTAACACCCTCTTACAGCAGTTTTCAATTAAGTGTCGTAAAACCAAAACAAACCAGTTACTTACCAATTAGACTACTCAGTCAATCTCAAACTGTAGTAAAACCAAATCCAAAGTAATTACCTGATTACTTTCGACACTCAGTTGAATACCGTTCTATTACATGGGAAACTGAGATACCAGTAATCTTTTTTCCAAATATTGACAGAGCTTACCAAGTCTCAATTTGCCACAAAATAACTTTCCCAGTTGGTTCATTCATACCTTAAGTCTGGCTTTCACAAAGTCTCTGAGCTCCTCCTGTTCCACAGGCATGTAATCCTTAGACAGCCAGTTACTGAAGAGGATTGGTCGCACCAGAGCAGCATTACGATCTATGTTGGGAAAATGTTTCAAAGCAACATTGTTTACGTTCTCATCTGTCCACTTACGCTCATCATCTTCGACCAGCCTGGAAAAACAAAAACAAGAAATGAAAGCTGTCAGAGTCAAGCTACAACTTTCAAGACAAAGCTCCAATGCATGATGTTTGAATCAGAATTCTCAAACTAATCAATGATTCACCAAGATTAGACAAAGGCAATCATAACCTTGACGGTGTTTGGATATCTGATCTTAGGTCCTGTCCACACTACGCCGGAGGAATTTGAAAACCGAGGTTTCACTCTGAAAACGCATCAAATGTTTTCCGTCCACACTACGCCGGAGGAATTTGAAAACCGAGGTTTCACTCTGAAAACGCATCAAATGTTTTCCGTCCACACTACGTCGGAGGAATTTGAAAACCGAGGTTTCACTCTGAAAACGCATCAAATGTTTTCCGTCCACACTACGCCGGAGGAATTTAAAAACGTAGCAATGAATCACCAGTCAATTTGGATTTATGTTTGAGGAAAACTCGGTCAAGGATATCACATGATTATCTTTCTCGAAAAGCTCTGTTTTCAAAATATTTTAAGTTCACAGGAAAACCAAAAGCCGGCGTTTTTAAATTCCTCCGGTTTGACGAGCGCTTTCAGAAAGCTCCGCTCTCGTGACAGATTACTGTAAACGGTAAGTTGTGTTTTCAAATTCCTCCGGCGTAGTGTGGATAAGGCCTTGGCTACCATATTTCAACGTTTTCTCTTCAGCTTTAGTTCCGATTGAGAAGATATATCAAACACCCAAGACAGTGTTTGACCACGTTTCCAAACACCTCGAAGTTCGTCAAAAATACCCCGCTATGCGTCATATTCTAAACTCTCTTCTCAGTACTTGGAAATGTGGTCAAACACGGTCTGTTGAGTTTGATATGTAACAGTTGTGCGCATAGCTGTAACATCACAGAATACCCAGAATCCTCACCTGTCCTGGAAGAGACGCAATGCTTCATGCGCCCAGAGACGAACAAGTCCCTCTACTGACAAAGTCTCCAAAGGCTTCAACGCTTCACAGATTCCTCTCACCCATCGAGTCATTTCACGAGGACTGTAGATGTAATGTGGCTGCATGTCTTGGGTGAAACGTTCCTGCCACCACAAAGAAAACAAGTGAACACATAAATCTCACATTTCTCCTTTCACATTAATATGATGTTGAGAAAACATGCAAGTGTGCCTTCACTACTCTGTCAGAAATATTGTTAAAAGAAGTTCATATAGCAATCTGAATATTTTTTTAAAATTTTTGCATCCATGCAGGATCACATGCAACCAGGGAAGGAAACTACCAGGTAGGGAAACTAAATTGATCCAGAGTGATACTTCATCCTACCTGAGACATTGAGTAGAACTCGACCATGGCATCTGTCAAAGGCTGTGCATAGCTCCTCAGTGGTGGAACAATTCTCAACATTGCACGATTGAATGTTCCATAGATCTGTGTTAGAGATGTGGGACCTGGGTAGTCAACATAGATGACTGGTACATGACGTAGGAACCTGAAAACAGAGAAGATAGGCTAGTTAAAACGGGTTGCTTTTCATATCAAAATTTTGTGAAATACAGTTCTGAATAACAAGAAAGCACATACAGTATGTTCCGTTTGACACGTGCAGGCTTGGCGTAAAATGACTTTGAAAAGGATCATGGGAGGAGGGGCTCGTTAGATTGATGTTTGTGGAGGTCTATAATTGCGCTAAGAAATGTGACAGAAAGGTTGGTAGTTTCTAACTTTCCACAACGAAGTAGATCTTCCAGTGATACCGGTATCGCCATTATTTTTAAAACTTCACTGCAAAGAGGTACCTTCTAGTAAAAGAGGTGAAAGGAGAGAGGGGCTTTTGACTGGAAAAATGAGTAGATAACCAAGTTTCTGTCTGCGTTGTGTCTGTCTGAAAACGTGCATTCCACCAACACATTAAGCAAGTTTCTATGGAGAACACTTTCAAAACAGGAGCAAAGTCACAGTATGATAAGTTTAGTTTAATACAAAACCAACCTGTGTGACAATGGTTTCCTGCCAGGATCCGTAGGAGGGTTACAAGCTCCAACAAACTGAATCCTCTCGATGGTGACCCAGGCCTGGTCAGTGGTGCGGTAGAACCCACCATGCTCAACGATTTGCCTCAGGAAGGAAATGACTCGCTGGGTACCTAGAGTTCAAATGAAAGATTTTATATGAGAGATCAAAGTAACTATTTAATTCTCCAGATGTACATGTACTTATAAAATAGAGAAAAATAAGGAATTAAAATAATGCTGGCTGGAGCAAAGAATGAGTACAGGACTTGAAAAAATAACTTGAATTCTGGCTTGCCCTTCAGACAAGTAGCTCAAAAGGCTTGCTAATCCTTGGCAAGTCTTAAATTGCTCTTTTTGATTTAGTTAGAAGACGTCCTTGCCCACTGGGCAAGTGAGAATGAAACGTTACTTGCCTGGCAGAAAAATCTAATCTAATTTAATACAGTGTTATTATTTTTTCTTCTCTCTTACCATAGCTGTCCATGTCCGGAAGATTGATCTCGTCACAGAACAACACCATCCACTTTCCAAGCTGTACTGGAGCCAGGACGAGTCCATTAGGAGTTCTTCTGTACTCACAGTAATGGTCAAATGTCTTCAGGAGCAGCTCTGGAGATGTAGCACTGGAGAAGTTCAAGCCAACAACCTACAGGAGACAAAAAGGCTAGTTTTCAATAAGGAGGGAGTCACCATTGGAGTCGTAATCAGAAGTGCAGAGTGGTATGATCTAGTGAAAATCAAACTAATGAAGTCAGAAGCAGAATACTGATTCCACTTACATGTATGACTCTGTCACTTATGTTCCAGTGAAAACTACGTATTGTAGTCTGAAGCAGAAGGGGAGAACTAAACCAGTCACAGTGCTCGATTCTGGGCCTTGTGGTTAGTTGGTTTCTACCTCTGCCTCTGACTACAACAATCTAGTTTTCATTGGATCATAAGCAATGGAGTCGTCAACGGAATCAGAGGAAAATTTCCTCATTTTAGTTGTTAGCTTTCTGTGATATTCCAAATCAAATAACACACCTCCATATCAGGCAGAGCTCTCAAGGCACTGAAGAGAGTCATAGTCTTGCCACTGCCAGGGGGGCCACAGAGTACCATTGGCTTGTGCTCTGCCAGCCAGGTGTACAACAGCGCCTCATGTCGCACAGTGTCTACTGTTGGTACTACAATGTCTGGTGCTGCCACTTTGTGAGTTTCCACTTCAATCTGTGGGACCTTGGACTGCCACAGCACCCACTCACCCTGGATTGTAACCTGGAGAGAAAACAGACGTAAGTGGTCATCACTAGGAAAGTCCTCTTTATATTGGGCTCAATGAAATTTAAGCTGTCTGGTCTATCTGATATGTACATGGGAGGTACCGGAAGGAGTTCCAGGGCCAATGTCATGTGCTTTGCTTGTAGTGTAGTGCTTGCTTGGTTGTTTAGTTTCCCTTCCTCTTTCCTCTTTCCTCTTTCCTTCCTTCCATCCCTCCCTCCCTCCCTCCCTTCCTACCTCCCACTTGGTTAGGTACACCTTCCACACATTGTTTCTTCACAGTGCTGTGTTGACAGGTGTCTGGATGTCTGGTTTGCCATGGTGATCTCCTGGCTGTAGAAGAGATTGTTACTCTCCTCTTCTGCTACCTTTAAGGCACCTACCCTCAAACATTTCAAGTAGTGTTTATACTCAATTTTGATGTAATTTGTTAGGTAAAGTAGATCTGATCTCAAGATATATCTTTAACCCTTAGTCCATTCAAGCTACCATTGAAGAAATCTTAGTCTATTTTTTGTTTAAAAAAAATATTTTAAGACTTCCACACCATTCAACTCAAAGACAGTTTTTTAGATAACATGCACATAAACAATTTAAGTTTTCTTTGCTTTCAAACTCAACATACCTCATAATCCACAATAGATGACGTTGAACTAGATGGCAAGGGGATTGTGGTGATACTCTTGATGAAGCTTCCAAGGTCTTCTCGTGTCTTCAATTTGCAGTCTCCAGAGAATGCCCACAAGATGCAGAAGATCAGATAGCGTGGGATATAACGTTCTAACTGGTCTCTCTGTTAGAAGGAAATAAGCAGAAATATGTGTACAGACGGTTGATGTTAAGCCCTAACACTGGTATATAGATACCTAGTCTCTATTACAGTAGCCTTTGCCTACTGGATAGATTGAGATGCTGAGAGCCTATAAGACTTCCCCTCTATGTTATGCTCAAGTTTAGTTGGGGTGATATGCAAATAAAATACAACATCTATTCAGTAACCATTTGCAGGACTTACTCCTGACTTGCCAAGAACTGGTAGTCCCCAGACCTCCAGCAGGTATTCTATAATGTTAGAGGCGTGTTTCAAACATGAAATGGCAAAATGAGTGCTATTTTAGGCTAACGTGAGTGCTATTCAAGCTAACCAGAGTCCTATTTAGGCTAACTTGAGTGCTATTTAGACTAAACAGAGCACTTGTTAGGCTAATCAGAATGCTATTTAGGTTAACCGTTGTAGCATTGTCATTTTGCAATTTCATATTTTGACACACCCTAATGTTACTAGTTTTCGTAAATGGCCCTCTAAAGGAAGTTGACATGGGCCTGCCTTACTCCTTCCGATGGGTCCTGCACAAGGGCAGCCACCTTCTTCCAAGCTTAGTGTCAACACTGATTTAACAATACAACGTTGGTAAGAAGGCATGTTACTACACAAGACATTAGTGTACCTCCATTGGAAAGTCAGGGTGTTGCTGATTGTACTGAAGGACATTTCTGATTCCTTGGTGAATCATGGAGAACAATGATTCCAGTGCCCTCATGCGTGTGAAATCCATGATGTGCTCCTGCTTGAAGGCAAACTCCAGGCACTTCACAACCAGACCATTTGACGAGAAATGCTCATGGATAATATCCACAAAGTCACACTGAACCTATAAAAAGTTAATTGAAAACATTTTAATGTTCGCAAGATCTAAGGGACAGCAACAAATGTGTCCATGAGCTACCACAGCAGAACAACCAACACTTCATGATAGAACAGCTCTATGTTCACATACTAGGGTTTCACGCACAGACTTCACAATTATAATCACCGTGTACAGCGTAATAAACAGTGCCATGTGAAAGTACTGCTCAATAGCTTTCATTTGAATGGTCACACACTGGGGTTTCATCCACAGGTGTAAAAGTTAGAAGCCTTCTACAATTGGCCTGAGGTTTGAATCTACAAGGAAACACTAACTTGGGTTTTTAAAACCATAAAGCAGCACCACAGATAAAATCAGCATAGTTAGTATCAATCTGTGAACCATTGTTTGACTACCATATATACCTGCATTGTAGGTGACAAAACATCTTCATTCTGTCCCTGAGGTTTGATGCGTCTGGTCTCCTCTTCAACCTCTTCCACTGGCACTCTCTTCATTATGAACAGGTTGTTGTCAAAGATCATCTCAGTTGACAGGACGTCCTGACTAAACCACACCATACCACAACGGCTGACAGTTGCCAAAGTTGCAAAGCGTAGGTCCTGCACTTCAAACATGATGCGCACCTAAACACAGCAAATGTAACACCTCAACATTTTGAGTTATTTTGGCCCGGACAAAACTACCTTAGAACTGAAGGAAACCTGAAAATAGTGGTCTACTAAGATAGAAAAACACCAAAGAGATTATTAATAATAAACCATAGGTGAACAAGGATGGTTAAGGATGGAAAAGATTTACATGGATTATAAATGATGAACTTGAAACATTTAGGGTGAACTGTGACATTGCTCCTTTAAAATCTGGGTCTTTCTAGCTTCTATTTTCACAGAAGCAAGCAGAGGAGTCCACATACAAGCACTGACAAATCCAAACAAAAAACAACATTTGACCTTACAAACAAGCTTACAGCAAGTGCTTGACGTGATTTTTTTCCCCTGTGTATCAAACCTACAACTTGCTTGCAACATGAAACAATTAGTTGTGTTGCTTTACTGTCTAAATTGGCCTGTGCAAACAGGGTCAATAACAAAAAATAATCACTCTGCAATATTTTTGCTTACATTGGATGGAATGCCTAGACGTTCACCATTTGGCAAAGTCAACAGCTTGTTGTCATCCAGAACACTGTTTAAGTTCTCCACCCACTCTGGATCAACATCACCATCAAAAATGATCCACTGCCTCTTGTTGATCTCTCCTCGCACATTGTCAATGATCCTTGAATGCAAAAAGTGAGAACATCTTAATTTATTAAGGGAGTGGAACAAAATATTTGCTTTGTATTAATTTCAATATTAAGTAAGGTTTGAAAAATTGCAACTCTTTACTGAAGCTGCACATCAATTTGTGACCGTGAACCGGAAAACATACCTTAACACTTATTCATTAGATGGGCAAAAGCATTAAGCATCCGCTAGTCATCCATCAGAATGTTTTCTTAAAAACATTAGAGGCGTTAGCCCAACCGTTAGACGTTAGCATCAGGCCATTAGAACGTAGAGTGCATCCGTTAGCAAGAGACATGATTTTAAGTAAAAAAAAAAAAAAAAAACATTTGAATTCTCTTTAGGCTTGTAAGAGAAATGCCATACTGTGCTTCTGTGCTGATTAGCAGTTACGGTACTCAACAGAAACAGTGCATTTTCAGAAGGGTCCCTTACTTTCTCAGTATATGTGTAAACAATCCATCAGTCCATTCCCTTGTGTTAGGATCAAGTGTTCCATACAAGGCTTCCTTGGAGATGGCCTGAAAACAAAATCAACCAAGAGGATACATTAGAGACAGTTTCCTTGTTATGGTTGAACTGAATTGTTTTCTAGATATTAAGTTCCTTAGAAGTATTAGAGCAGCTTTCAACTGGGTGCCACAAAACCAACACCAAACCAATTACCGTGTACTTACATTGAAAACTGTTCTACTAGTACAAATTAATTACCTATTAAAAAAGTCGTGACTGTGTTTATAGACATACATTACTAACAATGATAAAAAATCATAGACCTTTATGAAACTTTCCTCTGAACCATTTTCCCAGACTTGATGTACAGAGTACTTTAATTGGCCATATTCATATTCTCGGTACTGGACTGGAACTACTGTAGGTTGCAAGTAGGCTAAAGCGGTGAGTCTTTTCAAATGCAAATGACATTAATCTCTATGTAATGATATTTTCCCACATGAGCCTCCATTGCAAGCTAGTTCAAGTCAAGTACTGAGAATATGAAAATGGTCTGTTAGGTCATGCAACTTTAAATACCTTGGGGTCAACAACATGTGCCACACCCTCGACACCCTCCAGATTTTCTAAGGCTTTCAGCAGTGTGCGCCAGGCTGAGGACTTGCCACTGCCGCTGGGTCCAACCATCATCAGGCCGTGATGAATCTGGGAGATCTGATACAGCTGAAGGATCTAAAACAACAACAACAATGAAGAAGATGTCATTAATATGTTCTCAAGTATGATTGATCAAGTCTTTGTTAACTGCAAAGATCATAGAGAATTATCTACATGTAGTCATCCCTCAAGTTTGAGACCTGAATTAAGTGTTTTAACATTAACAAATTGTTTTTAAATTAGATGATGCTCTGGACAGAAAATGAACTATTTCCATGAATATTCAATGTACTCCTCTCATAAATTATTTGTGTTTCTTACTTCATAACAAAGATACATTTTTTTCACTGCTACAGATTGGTTACTCATAAATATATATGCATGTGAGACAATCAGAGAATAGACATGAATAAAAAGATTTCCCTATAAACCCTTTACCAAGTAGCCTTATGTTTTTTAAAAATTTAATTAAGGTGCGACCTAAAGCTTTCACATTAAAGAGAGCTTCACTTGCATGCTCGCCCTCATATGAATCAAATTCCTTTTCAATTGATATATTTTGGGACTAGGGTTCATTTTGCCATCATTGCAAATCTGCCGTGACTTTGCATGCCATCTAGAATAAACATGGTTGCAATTTGCTATAGCATAAACACCTTTAGTTACCTTCTCCACCCACGCACTTCCTTGTTCTTCTCCCTCTCCATATACAAGGTTCATCTCTGTGCACACTTTCTTAATCTCAGCCTTGAGGCCCTTCATCTCAGCACCAACATAACGCACTCCAGGGAAGACATCTGACAACAAGCTTTGAAGAAGAGGGATGTCTTCTGCCACAAGTTTCGGCACCACTGTCTCATAAACACTCTGGATCAAGATCTGGTTGGAAGAAGAGCAGCAATATTTAATATCAATGACTTGAACAAGTATTTTTGATGAAAAAAAGGATTGGAGCAGCGCAGCGTGGCGTGGCGTGGCACAGCACAACATGGCATGGAGTAGAGCAGAGTTGAGTTGAGTAGGAGTTACGTTGAGTTGTGCTGAATCTAGAAGGGTACAGCCATGTAAAGTAGGGCAATTGACTGTCACATCAAATTAGAACACTGCACTTTCAGGAATTACTTGTGGACTTTTGTTGAAGTAAATTGTGTACCTCTTGTTCGTTTAGACTCTCAGAGATGGCTGCCTCATCAGCCTCTTGCCCTTCTTCAGTCAGACTCTCTTTGATCCTCTGAATCTTCTCACGTTTGACATTACCAGCACTGACCAGCACACTCTTCAGGGCACGAAGACCAAAGTCATAATGTGACTGGTTAGAAAGCTGTTCTCCACAAAGTCTGCAGAATTTCATACAGAATAAAAATGCATCAGGCTTACCAATGTTTTATGAATTGTCAAATAAGCTAATCAACATGCCATAAAGCCTGGTGGAGATAGTTTAAGTCTTCTCACAAAGAATACAGTCAAGTACCATGACTGACTGACCACTGAATCCCAACTTTCTAATTATATGTACTAGGCACGACTCTACAAATCAGCATACACTGAAGGACAAAAACGCTAATCTGAAAATGTGTGGCGTGACGGTAACTACTTACAGTTTGTGTACAATTCTAGGATTATTTGGTTAAATTTTCCAACATTCAATGAAAATTTGTCATGAGAAAATACAGATCCAGATGTCTATCTTTGTTTTTGTGATTTGCCTTTTCAACATTTTATAACTACTTCATTATTACGTACTTGAAGAATGGAACAATCTTGGTTGCCAGTTTCTCTGCAGTTCTGAAGCCCTGTGAGTACAACATGACCTGTGCAATGAGCTGCCTGTCAGGAGTAGTCATGGCCAAGCTACGGAACAACTTCTTCAAGTTGTCTGGGAGGTTGGATCTTCCAGCATAGCCTGGATTCATTGTAATGAAGATTGCCATGTCACGGCTCACTCTCACTTGCTTGCCAACCAGCTCAATGGTAATGGCTGCTGCTGAAAATGGATGAAATATAATTTTAGTCCCATACTTTTCAAATAATACCAAATAACTGCAGTAATATTTTCAGTTATTGCCTTACATGTGTCATTGCTGCCTTCTCTGAGTGACAGCTGAATGGTCTGTATTTGTTGAGACACAGCTGACAACATTCTCTCCTCCAAACGGTTGAATTCATCAAAGCAGCCCCAGGCACCAACCTGACAGAGACCTACAAAGATACGGCCCATGGCCTGGGAAAGAGATAAAAGATGGATTAGACAATGTCCACAACATTCTTGTAACTGTTAACTTAAAAGAGCCTTATAGCTTTCAGAGCTGAAAGGTTCAAAAGACTTGCACTTGAGTCAGGTTTCTGTAAAGTCTACAGCAGAACAGTGCTAGAACTCACCTGGAAGTCAAATGTCTCATCACAGTTAAAGACCAACACAAATCTTCCCAGCTGATGACCAAGAGCTTTCACTGATTCTGTCTTTCCTGTGCCAGCAGGACCTAAACACACAAAACACAACTCAATAATCATTTAGATTGGAAAAGAAAGACAGCACTATAAAGAGTTAAAGGAGGGTTTTTCAAAGGGAGGTTCACCAGGTTTCTTCTCCACCATGAAAGACGACAATTTTTAAGCAGTTCACTTCAGGAAACATAATTATTTCAAGGTGAAAATTGTTTAAAAAGTTTATCAACAGTATAATTGCTACATGTACGTGGAACCAGAGAACCAACTCACCAAATGGTGACCCTCCTAATCTTCCTTCCAAAGCTTGAGTCATGGTAAGATAACAGCGATCTGTCAGCGGGGTCTGGACAAGCTTGTCTTGAACTCCAAGGTACTCAAAGCCATAATTAAACTTGGCATTGGCCATGTGGATTGACAGCTGTTGAAGAACATCTTTCTGCTTCGGGTCAAAGTAAAACCTCATCTGACTAAGCCATTCAAAAGCCCTGGTACTTGTGACTTGTGCACCAATCAGCTGGCGTGTCACATCACGTTGATGAACATGTTCAATAATCTGAAACGGAAAATTAATTAGTATGCCTTTTAACAAACCATCCTACTGATTTCTACAACTATAGCTCTGGTTCTCCAAAAAAAGATTTTCACTAATTTACATGTAGGATTACACTAATCTACATGTATGTATGATTACACATTTTCTACCATCAAATTTAAATAACCAACATTTTTGAGTTTACAGTTTTACCCTGGCATATCAAAGTGAACCAGGCATTCAAAGATATGATATAAACCTGATTTCAAAGTTGGTGATAATATATCTGAAGTTAGTTTTAAAACTCTACTCTCCCATTGTTGACACTGGCCCTTTTAAAGACCCCCTACATGTATAAACTGCCAAAAGTTGATTCAGTACTTACACAGAAAATGAAAATATGTCATTGATAAAAAAAACTCCACCAAACAGACTGATTTACAGGCTTACCAAGTGTTCCAGTTTGCGTCGTCTCACTGGAGGCTGTTCTTGCAGGACAGAGTCAGCCAGGATGTTCAATGTGGCTTCGACAACTCTGAGGACCTTCAACATTGGCTCCAAGTCTTTCTGGTTGGAAGATGAGGAGATTGTCTGCAATGCGTTTTCACAGCTTTCTGACCATGCAATCTGAGAAGCTAGAACTACAAGTTGGGCCTACAAGAAGGAAATAATTAATCGGATTAGATGAGTATCTATCAACCAGCAAGAGATTAAACTGATATACTTTATTGTGCATGTGAATCAGACAAAGCACCCATCTTACCTGAAATCCATCAACCCACTTCATGTACTGCTGCCCATCAATGCTCTCGGAATTAAACTGTTGTACATCAGTCACTGCCTCAGCCAGTAAGGTAGCCAGAGTAGTACGCATCTCAGACTCGACACATGTCAGCCATTCATTCACTTTGGGATGTTCCTTCAATGACACAGGCTTCTTGAAGACCACCTGGAGAGAGACAAAGGTTTGCACCAAGGTTAAACTTAAATGATATTTTCATAATGACCGTCAAACATCTTGCCAATTTGCTGGGTGTTGGACACTATTGATAAAAGTGAAAATAGTAACAGAACAGTATTGAATTACAAATAGCTTATAAAAACCTTAATGTATATTCTGTAAGTATTCATGTTAAGCATAGTTGAAGTCTTTTTCCCACGGCATTGTTTCCATGATGATACAATGGAAAGTTTTTTGTCCAGTTGTTCAAAGGAGCAAGTGTCTCTCCAAATGATACAAAGCTCTCTTAAATCACAGCTTTTCAAAAGTGTATTACAAATATTTGAACTGAGTCCCTTGCTTGTTTAGAGCATGGCAAATCACACAAAAATACCTTGTGGGTTAGATGCAGAGATAACCAGCACAGTCAATGTTATGACACAGTGTACAAGTGTGTAGATACAGTACTGCAAGTGTTTTTAGCTCCAATGTAGAAGGGGCTAAACCAATGTCCTACTGAAACCCTGATTATTCCAAATAACACTTATTAACTAATACACCACNAATCACTCAACACCCAGTTGACGTGCAGCTTTCTCATCAGTGTCTTCCAGTGCCGCTCCTTCAATGCTTCCGACTTGAGTTCAACAATCAGCATGTTAACCTACCAAATGCAAAAAGAAACATTGTAGAAACTGAGCACAACATCTGGACATGATGGCTGCACCAAACACAATAACACTTTTTTCAGAGCAGAGAGGCTATTACCTTCAAGTAAGTCTTGATTGTTTTCTGAACATACTCAAATGAAGAGTACTGTTTGAGCCGAGCTGGAAGGTTCTTCATGTCATTCAACAGACCATCAAGTGACTGACGCAGCTGTAAAGATATTAAACATCATCAACAGCTATGCACAATGAATGTAGCACTTGATTACATTATTTTAACCTTTGTGTCTTGGTGATAATTCTGTTTATGTCTAAATGACACTTTTTACTACACCATAGCACTCACCTTCCTAGGCTGAACAGAAAGCCATGGTTTCTCCTTCAACTCATCCACTTTCTCCCAAACCTTCGCCAGTTCAGACCACACACCCTTCAAGTCTTGTAACTCTTCCAGACCAACCTGGACTCGCTCATCACTAGCCACCAATGTTCCTGCAAACAAGTCACCAAAAAGTCAGTACACAAACCACAGCAGATAACAGCGTGAGGGATACCACGCCATCTAATGGCTGCCTTTATGCTAATCACAGACAACAGGCTTAAGCTATTGATGCAACTGCGCTACAGTGTGGGCAATACTTTTCTGGTGTCCAAAGAATTCATAATTCGAACAAATTATCAAAATCCCACCTGGTTCCATCAGTTCCAGAGCTTCCTTGGCCCTGGCGACATTGTCTCTGTCTTCCTTAAGTCTGGAGAACTTGCCCTCAAAAATGGCCAAGTTGTTTAGTGCTACATCAGGTCTTGTGCTGCCCTGAACAGGTTTGCCCTTCTCCCATTCAAACAGCAGCTCTGAAGTGCGTGTTTCTACTGCCTGGTCCTCAGAGATGATCTTCATTTGCAAAGTGGCAACCTACCAAGAGAATAGAATAACAAATGAAAAATCTGTACTTAACACCTACATTTGTATTGTTAGTACATCATTACTGAAGACCAAAAGAGAATGAACAGGGATAATTTTACTATCACAAGAAAACTGCATCAACTCCAGTTAAGGATTATTTTTATTAAACTTGTAGACACTTCATAAGGGACTATCAATCTGGCATTTTGAACCTCTACTAAAACAAAGTTTTGCACCATTTGTTGTTACTTTAATTTGGCTCGCTTTCACTGACCATCAATCTTGTAAGTTTTCCCATTACTATCTTATTGCAATGTTTAGCCCTATGTTGTGCTATTAGAAGATCTTTTATTTAAGCCTTACATCCGCCAAGAGATTGAAGGTGTAGTTTCAGAAAGATTAATATCTATACCTCCACCACTGGAAATTCCAATTAAGCTTGATATGTTCTCTTAAAATTTTTTGATCTTACACAACCCCTCCCCACCCCCCAGGAAATTCCAATCCCTTCTGTAGGGGGAATATGGATATTTTCTTGAAAAGCACATTCAGATTTATTAACTTCACGAACGACAGAAAATTATAGGGAACATGCTATTTTTTAATTACCTGGGTCNCAGGTTTGCCCTTCTCCCATTCAAACAGCAGCTCTGAAGTGCGTGTTTCTACTGCCTGGTCCTCAGAGATAATCTTCATTTGCAAAGTGGCAACCTACCAAGAGAAAAGAATAACAAATGAAAAATCTGTACTTAACGCCTACATTTGTATTGTTAGTACATCATTACTGAAGACCAAAAGAGAATGAACAGGGATAATTTTACTATCACAAGAAAACTACATCAACTCCAGTTAAGGATTATTTTTATTAAACTTGTAGACACTTCATAAGGAACTATCAATCTGGTTTTTTGAACCTCTATGAAAACAAAGTTTTGCACCATTTGTTGTTACTTTAATTTGGCTCGCCTTCACTGACCGTCAATCTTGTAAGTTTTCCCATTACTATCTTATTGCAATGTTTAGCCCTATGTCTGTGCTATTAGGAAATCTTTTATTTAAGCCTTACATCCACCAAGAGATTGAATGTGTAGTTTCAGAAAGATTAATATCTATACCACTGGAAATTCCAATTAAGCTTGATATGTTTTCTTAAAATTTTTGGATCTTGCACAACCCCTCCCCACCCCCCAGGAAATTCCAATCCCTTCTGTTGGGGGAATATGGATATTTTCTTGAAAAGCACATTCAGATTTATTAACTTCATGAACGACAGAAAATTATAGGGAACATGCTATTTTTTAATTACCTGGGTCTGAATACTGGAGTCTTTTCTCTTCAGGATGTCATTAAATGCACCCCACTCTCCTTCAATGTTGTCAACATACAGCCATGATGGAGGGAAGGCAAATCTCTGTCGCTCCAAGATACGCTGGCCTTCTTTGTACATCTATTATTTTGGAAATTAAATCATGTTTAAAAAATACGTCATGTGAAATGTAAAACAAAATCAAGTTAATTCCTAAACACAACCAAAGAAAAAACCACTTTATCTGTTGCAATCATACACATTGATTCAGAAAGAAATGGAAATGGAAGGAAAGGAAGGAAATGGCTGGAAATGGCTGGGTGAGAGTAGTGGGCTTGAAGTTCACAGAGTGATGATATTGACTGACAACAGTGAGAGCTAAGCAGCAGGATCAAAATCTCATTGCAAGTCTTTTCTATCTAACTCCATACTCTGTCAATAATTTCTTTTCTTTGCCATGATTTGGTTCCAAAAAAAAGTTGTAATCTGGGTAAAATTAATTAAATATGCAATAAATCATAGCTGTATGCTGGATGCTGGTTAGGGACCTCACAACCCCACCTATATCACTGTGTGAAAGTGGGAAGGAAACATTTCAGACCTCAACATTCTTCTCCCAGTTCTTCAGCTTTCTCTTCAGTGACTGCACAACAGTGATGAACCCAACAGCATCAGATGTCGAGGCTCCTTCAATCGTTTGCTGCTCCATATCAGTACGGGCCTGAAATACCAAACACTAGTGCTCAGAGTATTCATAAAAATATCAAGATATCAACATGAAATAATTACAATGTCTGAAATACAATGTGCACTCAGTCTGACAGTAAATAGAGGTTCTACAGTAAACAAAAGATTACCTTGGAGACTGAGCCATAAAAGTCCTGCATGTTATCTCCGAGGCGTGAGGCAAACTTGCTGAGGATTTCCTTGTGCCATGTGTCGTACTTCATGTTGACTTTAGATTGAACCTGGAATCAAAGCACAGAAAAATGTTTGACATAGAGAGTAACCATTTTGATCATCTGGGTAAGTTATAATGCAAGTTTGAAACCTATTTTTAAGTATCTGTAAGTATCTTTTAGAATTTATTGCTATTTTCAAGGGACATTCCTATTTGATATTAGTGATATTAGACCTTAATNAGTAGCTTGATTATGCCATGCTTAAACACACCACTACCATGGGGTGCAATGTGCCTGCACCAACAACCAGAAATTGCTGACCACCTGACGAGTGTCGTTCACTAAGTTTAATTGCATTTAATTGAATTTAAAATGGAAAGTATCACAAAAAAGTGACATGTCTCACAACAACAAAAAATAACCCAAAAACAAATTATGAATTCGTTTAGAATGACTCCAGTATTACCTGAAGATCAAGAGTCGCAACCCACTGAGGAAGATTAGAGTAGGAATGAAGGTTCAACTCATCCACTGCTCTCTGAACTTTACCCAGAACATCCCTGAATGTATGACTGTTGTAGGAACAAGTCTCGAGGGATCGCACTTCAATGTCAATCTTCTCAACGCTACTCAGCAAGTCATCAACCTGGAAATTAAAATATTAAATCATCAACCAAACAATGCATACTGTCGATAAATAGGCTTTTAGCCAGAATTTGAAAAGTGGCCGTCTAAAATGTGCTATAGGGCCTTCTCAAATGAGCAATTTATAAGGCAGCATATGAAAAATAAAATAATTTTCTATAGAAATTGGCTGTCCACAGGACGCCTAGACACCCATCTGGCTAAAAGCCTGTTGATAAATCCATACTGTCCAGACCTATAGCCAGAGCCAATGTTTCTCCAGTTGCAGAAATGGTTATATTGTTGTAATAATTATAACAATAAAGACATCTCTGTCACATTGTAGATGCATCTTATTATTTGAAATGGAATTATATTCATTTTGAAAGTGATCTAAAAATGTTCAATATAAAATTAATAATCAAACAAAAGAAACTCTGCATACACAGTGCAGGCAAATGTACATGTACATCTGGGTTTGGATCATATAAATAAACAAAGGAATTACAAACTTAACATGTAAAAATTAACCTTTTAAAACTGGGACAGAAAGGTTTCAAAATGATAAACCAAAATCTGTAACAACTACTGTAAATCTCACAAAGTTACAAACATGTGGTTGTTAAGATCTACTAGTTTATTGTACCTTTTCTTGGAAGTTAAACACAGCCTCGGCTAGCTTCTGCACATATGGATCCAACTTGTAGGATTCCCAAACAAGAACCATACCCTGCAGAAATAACCAGTCAATCAAAGTTAACTCTGTGCAAATAATTACACCCTCTCACTTGCAGTATATAATATACATGTAGCACTATGAAAATTGCTACAACAGAATGGTGCTGTATTAGAATACAGATAACACTACTTGTTTCTTGGTAATGTCCCTCATAAAGAAATTCTTCAATCAATTCTACAGTAGGAGAAGGCTGGATTACAACCAAAACAGTTTCACATGCAATATAAATATAATAATTTCAGACCAAATACTTTATATAACTTACTTCTGTAACGAGAGCCTGTACATCTTTTCGCAAACCAGCAACAAGAGGTGAGATAGAACCCTTCTCTTCAACCTTAAAAACAAATCAATGAAATAAATGAGAGTATTAAATTACTGTAACTTCCACAAGCAAAGTATGTAGGTTGGAATGGTCAATATTAAACATAAATCTTAAATACCTTTTCACATGTTCTCTCGTAAGTTCGCACACTTTCAATAAGTGAGATGGCAAATGGGTAAAGCTGGTTGGCTTGGTGTGCCTTGTTTACAATTGCCAATGGAACTCGGAAACCCAACCACTTTAGGTTACGAACCTACCAAAAAAGGGAAAAGATTAGTTACTTTTAAAACTAAGTACTAAAAAATGAATATTGGCTCCTACACATTTTAGGAATTGGGACTGGCTGGTCAATGCTCGCAGGTTATGCCACTTTCAGTGAGATTATATTTCATGTACAGTTTACACATGTACATGTCCAAGATAAAATTTCTACAGAAGGGGATTTTCTGTCCTGTTCTTGTCTTTTCCATATTTAGTTGTCCCATTTAGCCAAAAAGTAATAGTTAAAAATACTCATGAAAAAAACACCTCTTTAGAGAGTGTGATGATTTCTGGTAAGAAGTTCACTTTCAGTTTCAACACATTTCCTCTGCCACCACCCCTGGCTCTTGTACTTTCAATGGTGAAGATTCGTCCAGAAACCCCAAGATTTCGCTGTTGAACCTGCAACAAAGAAAGAGAAGGGAGTCAAGATGGTTTTGTTAGTAACTAAGTTGCACTGATTGAAAAGCAGATGAACTTTAAAGAACAAATTGTTCCTTATACTACAAGTTTAGATTTGTCTCTAGATGACAGAAATTATAAGCTGTAATAGCAATATTTATTGATATATAATTAATGTATTTCATAAGATTTCATTAAGATTTCATTGAGATTTTTCTTTTCTCTGATTTTGACCTAAGGTACCGTATTTGACTTGATTTAGTGTACTGACCTTTCTTGACCAGTCATCAAACAGTTCCTGAGTGTTCAATTTCTGCCTGAAGCTGTCGCCATCAGCCTTCAGCCTCTGTCCTTCAACATGGTTTTCCCAGCCTTTTCCAAGGACATCTTCCACACGCCTCATGTATGCAGATAGCTGACGGTCAATCTGGAGCAGAAAATTAATTGATTTCTACAACTATGTGCTCTGACTGTCAAGCTTATGTTGTTTGAAGACCACGCCTCCTCCCAAACTACATTGTAAAAGGAAAGTGCTCACAAACTCAGCTGAGCATTCTCAAAAGGTTGTACAAACAAAATGTACATTGAAGTTCATTTTCTTTAATAAAAATAATATAAGTTGAGAAAAGTAATCAGTCACATTTTGTAGTACTGTCATTCTGCAAACTGTAGCCCAGAAGAAAAGGCAACCAGAAGCCCAGCAATTTAACAAAGTGATCATAATTATATCCAAAGTCTACTCAGTCTCTACGAATCAAGTACTAAATGTACAACCCAACATCAACATTTTGAAAGATTGCTCTCATGATCACTGGTGAAGGAAGAGAAGCACTGACCTGTCTTGCCCAAATGATGGAGCCAGATACAGGAGGCAAATCTCGAACTTTACTCATCTTGCAGGCTTTGCTGTATGGATACTGGATCTAGAGATATAACAAACATAAAAAGTTATGACCAGACCTAACCATTTCCATGCTAAGTTTTAATGAACAATCAAAGGCAGGACAAAAATTGTACAGTCGTACAAATTGTAAGCATAACTCAATGTACAGTTTATATACATGTGGCTTGGCATGACTGCCTTCAAGTTGAGATTAAAATTTATTTTGCCAAGTAATTATAAACTCAACACATTCAACAAACATACAGTGAATTCCACTCTAAAATTTCATACCTTGAACTTGTCATGAAGCGCTTCAATGTCATCCTTCACCCTCTGGATCAGCTGAGTCTGGTATTCGCGGATCGCACCTCTGATGTGTGGACGCACAAACAGAGCATTGAACCTGGAGAAGATCCTGAACATCTCATTTGCATTCTTAGCTGTTCCGAGCTGGTCTCGTAGACGTGCTGTGATACGAGTCTCCACTCTGTCTATGCGCTCATCATACCTACAATATAATGCAGTTAAATATTAGCAAGGGATTCTACTTTAAAGAAGGAATGTTGAGATGTCCTCATACAAGTATAAGTCCATGACTCAGAAACAGGTACCAAACATTTTGTGCTTTGAATTTTCCAGGCATGCAACAGTCATTTTGGTTTCCCATGCAACTGATTGAAGCAACATCAGATCTTCCATTGTAAATGGCAGTGCACTAAAAATTTCAAAACCAAAAGTATTTCAATGGTATTTGTTTCTCAAACAAGGTCTTTTGTGCTTGATATATAACATCTAATGACTTCACATAATTTGTAATTTCTGGCAATTTAGCCGTAATTAGTTACTAGTAATAATAATGTCGTAGTCAAACCTCTTAATAGCTGCTTCCCATGCCTCAGAGCCATCTTTTGACACATCAAGTCCATCAACTTCCTTGACATTCTCATAAGCAAGGTTCACTTCCTGAATAGCGTTAGCATCAGCAGGATCAAGCAGAGCTTCTGGCTTCACCTCCTCATCCTCGACAGTCTTTGGAGGACCACCAGGGCTGGGTGGAGAGGCTTGGCTGACAGTTGGGGGCTGAAGAACACGGACAATGACAGCCCGTAGTTGTTCATGCTGCCGGCGAAATCTGAAATGATGCACATTGTAACTTGTCAATAAAGCAAATTTAACAACATTTGCCATCGGAGGATGGTAATTTATTGAGGTGGACGTAAATGGTATGATGGGTAAGATGAACTAAATCCTGCACTGTGATTGGCTACCCAAGCAAGCAAGATCGTGCTATCTTGCCTACTTGGGATTAACTGATGTCTCCCTCAAGAAAATAGTGTTCTTTTTCCATATAATACAAATCCTTGGTCTTTCATTGCGTGTTTATGGACCTTGTCTCTGTCTCAGTCAGTAAACATGTGAAAAAAGAACTAGGCCAATATCCAGCCACTTGCCCTCACACATGGTCAATAACCCATATATAAAACAACAATCCCCTTACTTTCTCATCTGGTCAAGCCTTGCTTGAAGTCTTTTGTGAGCTGGATTTACCCTCCACACCATCTTCAGGTTTTCTTCTCTCTTCTTCTTCACAATGTCTCGCAACAAGGTTTGAAGCTTTTCATATTCATCATCCCAGGTTGTGAACACTTCAAAACAAGCGATCATGATCTATAACCAATTAAAATGTACATTAATTTTGCCACAAAAGTAACTGGAAAATATGAACTTGATGTAAAGAAAGCCTTATGAACTGCATGTTACCTTTTCAAATTCTTCATGGGTGATGTGCATCAATCTTCTGGTACCCAAAACCTGATAAAATTGTCAAATAAGAACACAAAAATTAAATTCTGTTTGTCATACACTTCGAAGAGAGTTTTTTTTCCCGGAATTTGACTTGATGTTTTCTAAATCCTGTTACAAAACTACATGTAACCCACCAAGGTGGGGTTGTTCAAAGCGCAATTAAGCTAACCCAGGATTGGCAAGAATTTTGACTTCATTTTTGAAACTTTTGGTGGGGTTTTCTGTTAATTATATTGTTTGTAATTCAGTTTTGAGTTTAAATAATCTAAAACTAGACAACACATAGGCAGTAAAAACCTCTTTATACAAGAAAAATCAATACTGCCATTAACTTTTAATCCTGGGTTAGTGTTAACCAGCTTGCTAACAACCTGGTCCAGCTGTCCAAAAAATTGATAAATCTAATTTGCGATCAGCAGGACAAATAGGGGTGCACATGTACACCTCAGACAAGTACATGTAGCTCAATTCAGACCTAATAAAGAAACCCTTTTTATCACCTCAGATTACCAATTGAAGAGGGAAACTTATAAAAGAGTGGCTGGGAGAGATTGGAAAAATTTTATTAATATTCTGGGATTTAAAATTCTAACTAAAGAAGATCTGAGTACTATAAACTTTAAACTTTATCTCAGACTAGAAGAATAGTAACATACTTTCAGGAGCTGTGAACTCAAGTCGCGGGAAATGGCTTCCACAAGGCGCAGGGCTCTTTGGATTGGATACTTGGTGCTACGGATCTTTTTCAAATGAGTGAAAATGGCACTCAGTGCAGCACGGATCTTGTCCAGTTCTGTGGCAGCCAGAAGGTCATCCAAGGGGAAATCCTTCATCAGTGGGTTGTAATCATTCACTGTTGCCAAAGCTTGCTTTAAACCTAAATTGAAGGAAAAGCCAACTTTAGCTTTGCTGAATTTTGTTAATAACTTTCCTCACTGAAAAAAATTTTGACTAGTTTTACTGCTTTATTTTGTAAGACATAAGGAGACCCAAGCCTCATGAAATAAAAAATGCACATTCAAAACACATCAACCAGAATAACAAGGTTTTGAATAGAAATAATTGATTTACACTTAATGAACCACCATATCACCAACTACATGTAAATGTATTTTGCAAAAATTGACTCAAATTGATGGTGCTTAACTTTCACAGTTATACATGCACATGTACAATGTATGTGTACATCTAACAGTATGCAAAACTGGTAAGTTTTCAAATGTTGCACCCTGATGTCTTGAGAAAGTTGCCTACCTCACAAACATACAAGTCTATACTTTTCAAATTTACAATTCAAAGTGAGCATATATATGTATCAAGTACATTTTTATTTTCACAAAACAATTAAATGCAATAGCTTTTGACAGCTTCATTAACAAGCCAATATTTTACCTGTATCTGTGTCAAAGCTGACAGTAGCATGAAACCGTTTTCCATGTTTTAAGATGTCTAGAGTGAGTGCAATGTCTGGACTCTCTCTGATGTCTTGGATCCTCAGTAAGGCTCTCTCTAGATTCAACCAAAAGCTGATCTCTTGTAAAGCAGTGCCAGATGCTGGATCACGGTCTAGTTTGGTAACCTGAAGGAACAGATATGAAGCAATGTACAGTCTGAGTTCAACCCGTTTATTGCAACCTTCAGACAGATCCACTTGCTGGCAAAATAACTGTTACATGTACTTCTCAAACTCATTAATAACTCATCAAATTTATTAAACAAAGAAATTCATGACCACGATGGTGTTTGCATATGTGATCTCAATTAGCCCAGATTTTTACAATTTCATTTCTTCCTAGCTTTACTTTCGATTAAGAAGACATACATGTACTGTATCAGCACTCAAGACATTGTTTCGCCACAATTCCAAACACCTTTAAGTTCCTTAAAAATACTCCCCTACGAATCATACTTTCAACTCTCTTCACACTGACTGGAAATGTGGTCAAACACGGTGTTTCATATTTGATACATTAACTCTTGTCCAGATTTGAATTAGCAATCAAAATATAACCCTAAATACAGCTATTTTTCTACATAATTTTATAAACAATCTTTACCTTTTGAATTTCTCTGATCCATCTGTTCACACCATTCTGCAGCTGATTCAAGAAGGTTGAATCCTCAACTTTGTCACCAAAATCTTGTACTTTAGGACGCCGTCCATCTTCTGCACACTTCTTAACCATTGCTGTCACCACAGGATGAATCGCCAGAGAAATCTCGGGGATGTCAATGTTTTGTTGCAGATGAAGCAATCCCATTTCCAGCTCTGCGATCTTCTTTTCCACAGAAGGAACCATTTTATCACCATCTCTACAATGAAGATTCATAACCAATAAATTAGAAGCTGCTATAAGCACATGATGCAGAGTAAAAGAAGATGTTGTACACGTTGCTTGAATCAGAGGGACTGTTTATAAAATCATTGAGTGTTCATATTATTAAATGAACTCATAATGAACCAACATTCTCATCATCAAGCAATGCAATTCTGCGAGTCAATAAAACATAACCTTGGTGGTGAGGTAAACTCAGGTTGGCTGATTAGACTTTATCAGAAGCTTGTAAAATATTGCGGATGTAAATATATTTCTGATGCCACGTGGACAAAATCTGCGATTGTCACAGAATTAAGAGAACACTGACAAAAACTTCATGGACCCTCCAAGATGGCAGCATGGGGGAGAATTAATGGCAAAGCTTGGCACGCATTAATTAACCATTTGATTCTATAAAAAATTAACTTGACCTAGTTTCTCCTTATGATCAAACTACACTGTCAAGCAAACAGGTAAGGAGGGATTGCATGCAAAGTCCTACTATACAAATACAATGAATATTCTTGCCTTGAAACTATTTTAATGTACATATAGCTTCATTAATGTTCATATCAAAACAGAAGCTTAGATCTTCAGATTTTTACACTCCATAGCACTTGCAAAGCGCAAGCAAGCTAACTGTATAAGCACAGACAGCTAAGTCAAGCTTAATATATAAAAAAAATCATTTATATTTTGGATATTTCTTCGCAGACATGAACGTACTGTACAGCACAATGAAATATTAGCTTATAACGAATAAATTTGCATATTAGATATTAGCAAGTGTTAAAAAAAAGCACCTCAACACACCCAAACCCATGCAGACATTTTATTAAAACTGACATTTATACATCGTTGATTTAAAAGAATCTTTCCTCTATATGCACCAGAAAAAAGGACAAACCTACATGAACAAAATAGTAAAGAAATAGTCAAATTTCACCTGTCTGCCTTTCCAGATTTCCTGACAAACGACTTGAAATATGGCGCCACAGCGTTGCTGATATAGGAGTGCAAAGTCTCATAAGGGGAGCCTTCGTTCAGATTTATCACACGAATTTGCGATGTGATCTTCTTGTCGGCATCTACGATCGCTCCTCGCTTGATAAACGCTACACTCGAGAGTTTGGGCGCGGTGTAATGAACATCTAAATCGATGGAATAAATCGCTTTTTCTCGCTCGTTTTCAGCGCCACTTTCTGTCGATGAGGTTTCGTCGCTTTCTTCTTCGTCTTTCAGCGGCGTTCGCTGGACAAGAAGGCTTCTCGTTTGCGCATCAGCAAGGAATTTCCTGATGTAATCGACGTGCAGCGGGTCTTTCAGAGAAGTGTCTAACTCAAGAGGAACCTCGGGGTCACCTTCGAGAAGAAGCGGTACAATTCGACGCAAATAATTCGTAAAATTCTTCACATCAACCACAGCGGCTTCTGGAGGAGTTGGAGAACTAGGTCCTCCATCAGAAGACGACTCCATGGTCGCCGAATGTCAACCACAACCCTTTCTTACTTGAAGTTTTCACAAAGATGTCTTCGACTCCTTTTATATTTTCCACGTTGACCGAAGTCACGTGATCAGTGTAAACTGCAGGTGGGTGGGGAGGGTGGGGAGGGCAAGGATGGGCTTTGTAGTCACGCTATTGGTGTACTTGATAGGTAATTTCAACAGATTTTCTTTAAAGTTCTGTAATACTGGTTTCCAGCAGTTGGTGTTTCAGAGCACATAACCAAACAAAAGCAACAAAATTATTATATCCAGTAATAGGCCCAACTCCTTATGATCCCTTATGTTGTTTGCAAAAATACTATTCCTGTGCAACAAAAAATCCAACAAGAACAGGGAATGAATCAAAATGAACATGTAATTATGGTGGACCTGACTAGATGTCTTCAAAGATGCACAAACTTTTGAACTATTTTTTGAACCATTGACTTTGCATATTTTTGTTACATTTATTAGTACATTTTTATTTTCTTGATTAGTTCATTTTTTTTACATATATTCTGGGTGGTAAGAAACTTGTAAATTAATCTGTATATATATCAACAAGGGGTCAGTTTCAAGCACCAGCAGCTGAGCTTGATTCATCACAAGGTTTAAGATCGCTTGCTCAGAATAGCTCATCTCTCAGGGAGTGAAAGCGAGAAACCTCAGACCATCTGAGAATCAGGCTTAAAACAGCTGTGAATGAAAGCCTTGGACCAGCATTATTTTGGGATGAAACAAGGTGAGAGTTACATTTGGACTAAAGGTCTGGTGCAGCACATTCAAACACTGACCTGCTCCAGGAATTCAGCTAGCAATTTTGAGAAAAAGAAGAGTGCAGTCCATGAAAGTGAAAACCAAGAACCCAGATCTTATTTGTTGACTCCCTTCTATTCTATCTGCTCCCTTACTAACGGAACACCTGGAACAGGCTAAAGAGCATCTGGTAGTGCCATCAAAGTCATCCCAGATATCAGGGGTGAGACATTAGCTAGTCTGCTCGCTACCATTTGATGGTTGAATATGTGAAAAGAGTCATCAGCACCTTTTCCCCACACCCTTCTCAAGCTGTATGATCACAGTCTGTGTGTTTTGAATTCTTTTTTTTTTTTGCACTGAAAAATTAAGATGCTGAAACAGTGTAATAAAAACTTGTCTACCAGATTTTCTTTGTGTCAAAACATTAGAGGCTGATAAACCAGAATCTTCTGTACAAATTTAACTAAGTAACATAGAAAAGTTTCCTATATTCAATGCTATAATTTTATAAGCTGGTATTCTTCTTCCCCTGAGAGCAACTTTATTATTATTTTTTATGTACAAACATAAAGAACAAGATGAACTTATTGAGAAGAATTTTCAATAGTTGAGTATCACATGCTATGTCATACAAGTAAAATGTTACATTTTTTATAAAGAAAAGAAAGAAAAAATATTTCATCCGTTGCAATCCGACTTGTACCCGTAAATTATACAGTGGAACCCCATTAATGTGGTCACCAACAGGCCACAAAAATCTCACCATATTAACAGGGTGGCCACATTATAAAAGGGGTTCTTTAAATAAGAAAATAACTGACTGAGCTTTGTTTGGGCCAGAATGAAGTGGCCATAATAACAAGGTGACCCTATTAACGGGGTGGTCGTAAGGCGGGGTTCCACTGTAACTATTTATCTGATTAGAATCTAACCAAGAGCCATTGGCAACAGTCTTGTAGTTTAGTTAAATAGTAGCTGGCAACAACAAGAATTCCTTGATTGGGTTCAGATAAGTTAATATCCTTCATAGCAAATTATTAAGATTGTCAAGGAGAGCTTTGCAAGCATTTGAAAGATTTGTACAATATTTACAAGCATTTGATGTGATGGTAAAGTTCTCTTCAAAAATAGACAGTCCTTTAAGTTGATTTGTCACACATCCATTTCTCCTCCTCACTGATTTTTTTTACAACCATCCATTTCCAGATTCTTTGCAGTCTTGATCAAACATTCTTTTCTTCATTCGGTTGAAGTTGTGTTGACATGTATGATGTGCTATTGGTTCGCACTTTCACAGGCATCGATCCAGTCACTATATACATCAACAGGTTCAGAAAGGTCTGTAGGTCTTGTTAAGGAAAGTACATAGCTCAATAACATTATGTATGTGATCAAATTGATTGCAATAATAAAGTTCAAAGGCACGAAACTTTTAACCTGAGAGTGCCCAATTTTTTTAATACCACAATACCTTTTGCAAAGATATCTAAAGGGTTCAAATTTGAATGTCATATGGTCATCTCCACTACATTTCCATTCTAAAATTAGGGAAATAATATTTCAGGGAGGTGGGGTGGGAAGTACATTTGTACTTTCATTTATATCGACTTTCTTTTTGCTTTGTTTAAGGTTGCATATTTTCCCAAAGTGTGCCAGGTAGGGCATTAAGAGGTCAAATATTTTTGCTAAGCACAAGCAAATATTAGTCCCCAAGCATCAGCCGGTGTGAGATCAAACTACTTGACTCATGGACATGAGACTAAGAATGGTGTTATGATTGTATGCATGGAGTATACATTTTTGACATAAGTTACAATAAGACATAAGCAAGGAAAAACCATTCTCAAAATGTAAAAACCTCATCATGGTTTTGCTTAATACAGTACAATCCATTCAATCAATTTTGTCTAGTATCTTAACTTTGTTATTCATAAATATTGCTCTGAATTCAGTTTTTAAGAAAATTATTATTTTGCCATCTGATTCCCATACAAACAATGTAATTTCTGACGCCGTTGCCTGCCTGTGATAAGGTCTATAAATAACTTTTTTAGTATTATTTCTATTTTCTTTTTGGGAGGGTGGGTATAAAGGAAGGGTCACTAATTAACGACAACTAAGTAGCCCTGATTCTATAAAGACTGTGAGAGTAACAACTTGGGTTGCACAGAAAATTATACAGACAAGGATACAAGTGATGGATGTCTGAAAATCTTCCAAGCAAACTCTACAGGATATTTGTCCAGTGTTCCTAACACGATCCCTGAAAAAGACAAGTTACGAAACTTACCAAGACCTAAGTTACAGATCTTAAGATCAAAACTTCATTTATAGCAACTCAGCAATGTTAGGTCAAAGCAGATGAGTGGGATCTTCAGGTCAAAAATTACTCAAAACAGCTGGGATACGTATACAATATGGCAACTGGTTGATGAAAGCTTTCAATGTTAAGTTTCGTGTCGTTTCATTAGGTTTTATTATCAATGAGACTAGATTCTGCAACACGTTGCAGAGGCTACTATGCAGAGGCACAATTTTTTCATTTTTTTTTTCGTAAATACGACCATGTGACTTCCATGGCCACTCTAAAATACATGTAATGGGTCAAGTTTCTGACATGTTACACGGAACAAGCCCGTACTGCCCTTTAGCATCAAATAGATAAAATATTACATTAAGCTAAACAGCAAGTTGAGCTAAGCGTCATCTAAAGTAAAGCACAATAACCTCTTTTTTGAATCAATGAAATATGAGCACGTTGTATTTTGAATGAACGGTGAACGCATTTGATTGCAAACTTACATTTTCACTTCGCACGACTTCTCGTGGTTACAAAAAGGGCAGTTGAATTGCTTATCCAGTGGATCCTGCCTTCTTTTAGGAGCTGGCTTTCGTTTAGATCTTCGTCTGCCCATTTTAACACCTGATTAAATAGAAGCTCAGCGCACCGAAGTATAAATCCAAAGCTTTTCGCAAACCACGCTTCGGCTAACTAAGCAACCATGGCCTGTTCTGAAGCTTCCACACACGAATAGTCTGTTGTGTAAGCCTTCTTGTTGTGTCCCCAAGATCAAACAGGAAGAAAATAACTGCGCCATCGATGACCGTTTGCCAACAGACTACGTATATTATAGGCGTCCCAAACTCACGATTCGAGGAATCGATCAAATAATTATGATTTATGTTCGCGTATCGAGTAGGGCATGACCACCTTACGTGTGCGGTGTTGTGTTTAGACTGTTCACAGCTTCCCTTTTTTTTCGACGCAAGCGAGCGCGAAGCACGCGGGGGTGGGGGGTGGGGGGGGGGGTTGAGAACGAAGCAGTTTTCCATACCTCAAAACCCTCAAACACGATGAAATAGGCCAAATTGAAAACAGAAACCAGGCAAGGTGAGTATATTTTCTTTATTTTATTCAAAAGGGAACATTTTATTTCGTTGCGCGTTTTTACCCTTCGTTATTTCAAACTCCTTATAATGCCGCAATTCTCACGGCCCAAAGTGTTACACAACTCCTCACACTTTAGGTGGTCGCGTCCCACTCGATACGCGCGCGAACATAAATCATTAATATTTGATCGATTCCTCGAATCGTGAGTTTGCGAAGCCTATGCGTTTATATACGCCAAATTAGTAACAGACTGATTTCACATCGTCAAACTTCCCTACTGTTTTCAATTCAAATTTGCTCTGCAAGGTGCGGATGACTTGTTAATTGCAATATTGTTAATTTCTAATATCGGATAAAATCGTGACCGAATCTTGTACACATTTACTGGCGAAAGCTGTAGCTGTAACATTTTTGGACTGTTATCGTTTTTTTTCTCTTTGACATATCCCCCCCTCCCCCCCTCACTAAACCCAACTTCCCGTCACGTATCACGCATATCACGCATCACGATTAACCTCCATACAGCCTGTTCACATTTGTAATGCACATTTCTGACGAGCGTACATAACGAAAATCAGACATGATAACGAACGAGAGCTTTCTGAAGCATGCTATAGTAGGAGGACTAAAATTTGTTAGCGGCGCCGACAAAGGACTACTTGTGTCACAAGTTTTGCGTTATAACGGCTTGGAATTTCTTTTCTTTGAACGCAAGAATAATATCGCAGTCATTAAAATATAGAAAGCGAATTTCGACATGACTTCGCTACCCGCTGTGGCTACCTATCATTTCGCGCAAAGCGCCCCAAACAGCTAGCCCAAGAAAAATGCTAGGTATCGTTCGATCATACAGTTTGTTTGAGGAAATTAACAGCAGAGTAACAGAAATTTAGACAAAATTACTAAAATATGGCTGACATTTTCGATGCTTTTTGCATTAAGAGCGAGCTGTTTGAGCTCGCGTAGAGACGCAATTATGCATATTATGAAGCATATAAATACCGTATAACTGCAAGTTTCTCACTGTACAAAGATTTTTCCCGGTTTCATTTTCGTTGGATCCTTCGACTGAACTTGACTACGTGAATAATAGGCAAAGATTCAAAATTCCAGGCGAGTATTAAGTATCATATTTTTCATTGCATTTACTTCCTTATTTTTGTCACTCCCGCAGCTATCCTCGATACTTTGATAAAATAAATAATATAGTTAAATGATCCATGGAAGATTATCGTAATGCTAGTGAGCGTGTTGGCAACAGTCGGAGGGGGGGAGATTTGGTAACAGTTCGATGAGGGATATAGAACGCACTATCCAGTCGAAGAGTTACTCCTGGACACAGATCATGGTGGAACGCCTGAACAGAAACAGAGGGTATTGAAGGAGTGTTGTCAGTACCTTACGCTCCAAAATGGAGTAGACAGGGTTCATGCAGTTCAGATCAGCTGCGTCTGTTGAACAAATTAAATAGAGAGACAGGTAAAAACAGTTTTTTATAATAAACCGTATTTTTACTGGTTTAAACTGGAATGCCTTGTGATATGTTTTGATATCCTTAGCCACAACACCTGGTCATCAGCTGGCAAATACTTGACCCCGTCATAGCAAAACTTTCACTACTGGACGATCAGCTTTATTTCCTATTCCGGTCACGAGGAAGGTCTGAAAATAAACTTTACATCATGACATATCATTATAACACTTCGACGCACGTTTGTTGTTAGTAATAACCTTTTTTGCCAGCGATAACAACGAAACAATCCGACTCGGTTTTGCAAGAAAAAGTAACATTTCTGTTTTCATTGACACGACTGTTGTGTGAAATTCGGTAAGTACATCTAGACCAACACTGCAGTTTTATAAAGCGAGAGGTTTTGCGATGAATAATGTTAGAAATCATAATTCATGTGAACTTGTGATAAATTAAATGGAAAACAAGGAAATGATTTTCACAGTTGTGGACGGTAAGCCTATGAGAAAAACTCTACTTTTCTGTGAACTAGATTCTCTTTCATTACGCCAGAAAAGGCACATTTACAAGAGAAATTCAGTGGTGAAAATATATTTGTAAACCATGCACGCTTATGTAATCTTTCGGGTCTAGTTTTCGTTGCGCTTTCGAGAGGGAAAGCGCGAAACAATTTGTCCTCGGAATCAGTGGTCCGAAAGATGATTATAAGTTTTTTGTTTTTAAATGATCATATTTTTCGACTTCTGGTATAAAAACAAGCCAAGGCCGATTTTTTTAGTCTTAAAGTCGCATATATTATATAAAAATATATATATATTAGCTGGAGATTTACATGTTTCGTGATGTTTTCACTAGTATGGAACCTAACGCGTGTGAATTTGGTAACGCGAGAACACGCGCGACTTCTACTCAGTCACCCGAATGAGGAAGTATAGTCTGTTTTGGACGAAGCTTGCTTGGCAACGGCAACAATCTTTAACGACCTCACGTAGCACACGTTATAACCCAAAACCAGCGACTGATTGCCTTGTATAAAACTTGTCATTAGATTTTCTTTCATACAAGTGTGACAAGGAATTGGCAAGTGGTTTCTTTACTAGTCTTGCTAAGAATCGGTAAACGCTTAATTAAAACAAATTTCGTCGCGCCTTGAGGCGACGAATTCTTTATTGGATTTTCAACAAGAGGGATTAGTGGCCAGTTATCTCTATCTACGCGTTTTGCGGTTTACATACAAGGAAAATACCTGAAGCAAAACACGTTAAATTATTTATTGTATACACAATTGCATCTGACGGTACAGCGGCCCTATTTGTCTACAAAGACTACTTACGCATTAAAGTAAAGCATTGTCTCGTTTTGGATTTTCCACATAAACATACAAACCAAAATTTCACCGCTAGTACAGATATTTATCAAGAGATTCCATAAACGTCTGCTAGTAAATTGTTCAGCATATTTGTACATTTGTAAGAATCTTGTTGAATGCATTTTATTTTGAGGTGGGTCTATTTAATTTGAACGTTCAGAGCTTGCATTTAATGTATTTTGACAGATGGAATATTATAAAGCTGAAGAGAGGGAAGAAAATGCTGGTAGCGGTTCTGACATCAGGGAATATCAAGGTAAAAGTGAAACAAAGAAAGTTAGTCTCGTGTCATTAAACTTCGCATGCTTAATTCAATGCAAAAACCATTGTTCAGTTTTTCGAACTCAAAATTTGTGTTTACTAAATGAGTGTGCGTGAAGTCATAATTTGGCATGAAAAATCGAACATCCTTCGTCCACTACTGAATTTATTTTGAAGAAAAGTTTGAAACTAAGTTAGCCCTGAAAAAGGACTTCGATTTCCCTTGACTCAATCTTTACCACAATATAAACGATCACATCTATTAAAATTTGTCTGTGGCCGTAAATATGTTACGCAACAGAATTTAGACAACGAAACTTCAGGGAAACAAAATCATCGAAGAAGTGGTACACGAAAGCTAGGCATGAAACAACCTCGTTCCCAGGACGAACGAGGTTGACGAAGGAAGTGTCTTTGATTGGGTTAGTGCTGTTCCAATCGAAGACGTCGTTGGATTAACTGGAATGTAGCAACCAATCAAAGACGCTGTTGTGTCGATTGGGGTAGCAGCCAATCAGAGACTGTTTCCCTGGCAAATCTTGCTACTGTAATTCAGCTTGATACAACAAGCGTCCAAATTAGAATAAAATGTTTTGAATTGATTGTTCATTGACTAGTTAACCTAGTTTCTTTTTTGTTCTGAAGGCGTTTCGTTTTAGCGTTGTCTTTCTCACCTGTCAGGTCTTTTCAAGAGAATAGTTGCCTTGCATATGGCGAAGAAACGCGAACGGCGCCAGCGGTGTGCTGCCAGGAGGGCAATGATGATTGACCAGTTGAAGAAGAAGGCTGACAGTTTTATGACAAAACTGGAAAACCGACAAGGTTAGCAATGTGGGATAAGACTCACAATATCACAATTTGATAGCGAGGCTCTCAGGAGCTCTTATGAAGTGACATGACGGTTGTCACTGTTTAGAGGCCAATAGAAAGGAATCTTGGAACCTTAGAGCCTCACTTTTTTAAGGACGCAGTCCTATGTCTTTTATGGCCCTTTAATTGGGACCCTGAAGAATGATCTTATTACTATTTTCTTGCCAAAATATCCTTAGCCGGTTTGTTTAGAGTAAATGGCTGGATGAGAGAAGTGTTGGTGATCGATGTTTTGACAACTTGAGCAGGATTGGTACTCATGTCCTCCTCCTCGGGGGTGGGGGGGGGGTGATACTTCCGTAAATTTCGAACAGGTGTGTGCCGCAAAGGGTCTTTAACCTTAAGGACATGAAAAATGACACCCTATTTAATTTAAGGCCAAAACCTAAAAAATGACACGCTATTGAAGGGAAGAATACCGTAAACGGGTCGTGTTTTATTTCGTTTCTGTAACATCGGAAGTCAACATAAGGTTCAGTTCTAACAGATTATTTGTTTTTCGTTTAGCTGGGTATTTACGGACTGCAAGTTTGGCTGATGCAATTTAGGTACCCTATCTAAGGCACAATGCCAACAGGGGCAAACATCATACCCTATTTAACGATCGCGAACATCAAAAACCCTACCCTATCCCGCGGCACATACCTATATAGCCCATATATGGGAGTACCACCCGCCGGGACTCATGCAGAGTCATGTAAAATGTTGTATGTCAGTCATTGGTACTAAGATCCCTGAACCTGACTGACCAGACTTGCCGTAATGTTATCAGCTGTAAGATTCGTGTAAGATCGCATTTTTCCATTCGGTACAATTACTAAAATATAGTAATTCAACTCTTTTCTGCCCTTTTTATTTGAAGCTCGGTACGCTTATCCAGTGGGCGCGAATGTGGGATCACCCCAGGTGCAGTATGTGGAAATGCCTCCCCCATATGAAGCAGCAGTAAACATCGAACCGATGACCAAGGAGGGCTTGGCTAAGATGGAGGCCGCTGGAAAGGCTTAGTTTTCATCGGTTAAGTAAGTCAGTTGATTTGTATTTAAACCATTTGGCACCTGTTGGACAGTTTTGGTACTGAACTACATCACGTATCTGAATAAAAACCTAGTGTGTGACCATTCAAATGAAAGCTATTGAGCAGTACTTTCATGAGGTACTGCTTATCATGCTGTACAAGGTGGTTCTAACTTTTAAGTCTGTGGATGAAACCCTAGTGTATGACCATTCAAATGAACAGGCTATCAAGCAGCGCCTTCATGTGGTACTGTTTATCATACTGCACAAGGTGGTTCCAAGGTTCTGACTCTCAAGTTTGCGGATGAAACCCAAGTATAAGACAATACAAATCAAAGCCCATGACACAGGTAGCAGAGGAGTCCTATTTGACCGTATTTTCAGTTACTTTTACCGTGCAATTACAGTGCAAATCGTTCTGTTGTTGATTCGAATCACTAGTCGAGACTGATTCGCGCTACAACTGTACGGTGAATTTTAACTGAAAACACGGTCAAATGGGACATACCTGCTCCCTTTGAATTGAGCAATACTTTTAAACGGTTGGCAGTTTATTTCATCCGTGGATCAAATCCGCCAATATGAACCTGACTATTCAAAAGAAACACACGCATGCTCGTTATATATATTACCAATTCTTCACATGTAAGAAAGAGAAAAGGGCAACTATAAAGTGCAATGAGTAATATTTTCATTTTTTTCTCTATAGGTCAAAACAGCCAGCAAAAGTAGATGTGAGATACAACAACAGGAACTCTCGTTCCAACATAAAAAGCTGTTAAACCATTATATACGCTAAGAATTGAGACTAATGGACGAAAATCAGTAGACTTCTTGGAATTTAGCGAACTCTTTATGGGAAGCGGAAAATGCGAAATAAAATGGCTGCGCGAAACCTGGACTCAAGTCATGTCCAGTTTCTGTGCAGCTTTTTTTCGCGTTTCTCCACGTCGCACTTCTCTATACGTGATTCTCCATATATGATTTGTTAAACAAGCTAAGCTATTAAAAATATTATGCGTAACATTGTCCTCATTTCTTGTCAATTCTGACTCTACCGGGCATTAAATTCTACCGACTCTTTCCTAAGACGGTAGCTTCTTGGATCGTTACTTAGCTCGCGTATGTACAGAAAGCGCTGCGTTGCGTTTCTTTGACTATGGAGGAGAGCTGTGAGAGGCTGTTGATGAGCATTTACTTGTGACTCTTGTGTGTAGTAGATCCTGAATTTGCAATCTCTGCTGTAGCCTTGGCCTAAGGCGGATCCAGGATTTTTCGAGAGGGCGTAGCTGCAGATTTAATGGGGCATGCATATCTCGCGAGATGCGGGCTCTCGTCACTCTTGGTCAGTGGTGTAACTGTTAAGCAATAGACTGCAAGGCTCTTGTAGATCTCTTGTAGATCTCTTGTAGATCCTACGTTGGCAGCGTTTATCGTATGCGGTCCCTTGCAGTTTATGGTTTCTCATTTATGTAACTGTTAAACGTATTTCTATCACCATTTTAGCTAGAGAAACTGAAATTACTTGTAATAACAATGAGGTATCTGTCCAGAGTGTTCTCCTTTATTTCTGCCATAATAGTCACAACCCTTTTCATAAGAGGGAGTCCGGCTAGCCACCCAGTCCACCCCCCTAAATCCACCCCTTCCAGCATACAAACAAATCGCGGGCTCTGTGAACGGGATTGGCATGCAATCGTTGCGTGTCGACCCAAACAAACATGATAAATATGCATCACTGGCGTTACGTTACACAACTAAGACAAGCAGCATGGATCCTGAAAGCTCCACAACGACAAGTTGGTTCATTCCAGTTCTGATCGGGTTTTTCGCAATCTATGTTCTAAAGCAATTGATTCCGCGATCGAAGGTTGATATCAAAGAAAAGTTTGTTCTCATTACGGGCTGTGACTCGGGCTTCGGTCGAGAAACCGCCATTCGACTGGACAAGATGGGAGTTCGTGTGTTGGCGACTTGTTTAACGAAAGAAGGAGAAGAGAGTTTAAGATCAGTGACGAGTGACAAACTGAAAACATTCCAGATGGATGTGACAAACTCGCAGCAGATTAAAGATGTCTACGAGGAGGTCAAACGACAAATTCTCTGTGACTCAGGTATTTGCAAATATATTCAAATTTAATTCCGTTAATATATGCACGAGCGAGCATAACAAGAAGATCTGTTAGATCTTATAACCGCGCTTTTAAAATTTAACTGTTTTCTTAGTACTACAGTCGCAACGCAGTGCATATTCCAAAGCAATCTTTGATGATTCGTTGATTACTGTAGACATCACAGCACTTGATCAACACAAACTCTATTATCACACCATCAGTCGTAGCCGTTGTGACATCTCCGATGACGTAATAGTCTTAATCTGGAACTTTCTTCGGGATATGTATGGGCATGAA